ACCCAATCTAGAAATTCTTGCATTTTGACATTATCATCACTATTGAATATTAATATGTTTTTCTCAACGTGAGTTTTCTGATGAATTTTCTTACTTCAGGTTAAAGTCAAACAAACTAAGACCAACCTTCTAATTGAATATTTAGGTCAAAACGACAAAATGAAGGTCGCAAGAGATGACGTTGACGGTAAATTACATAATTACCTTCGTTATATGTCCAAACCGTAATGTTTAAAATACACATTCAGTGACTTAAACACGTTTTTTTAGACAAAATCTAGGTGTAGTTTTTAAAACTATTTTTTAATTAAAATTTTATTTTAAAAAATAAGACAATATTAAACTTTTTTTTATATTGATAAAATTATAAATTTTAATTAAAATATAAAACTAAAATTATTTAAATAATTTTACTTAAATTTATTCTCTTTATTTTATATGTTGACATTTATGTATCGTTTATAATTTGTAACGTAATCTAACTTTTTTTTCCCCATCAAATCTTGATAACAACAGAAGGTATAAGTTAATTGATAAGATATTATTCTAACAAAAAAATTAAGTAAATATTTTTTCCTTTTTTTATTTTATTTGACTGAACGGATTTTACTAACAATTAATAATTAAATAATCAGCGCTAAAAATATTATTTCTGTTGAATGATTTGGTGTTTGATGATCCGTACCTATTACCTAACACATTTAACCAAATTAAATATGTGGTAGGAAAAGATTATTTATATTCATTGTATAAAAGAAGTTAAAATGAATATTAATTATTTGCGTTTGATAAATTTTAATAAAATAACTTATATTTTTTTTACAAAGAAAGTATGTTATATAAAATAACAGAAAATTTGAAATTTATTATTACAAAATTTTCATTTTATTTTTTATTTAATTTTTTCACATTTTATTCTTAATAACTAACTATTTTAACTATAAAATTACCTATTAAATATAATTTTATAGTCTTAAAATTGAATTAAAGTATTTAAACAAATATTTTTTATTTAAAAGGTGTTTATGGTATTTTTTAAAAATATAATAAATATTTTTAATAAAAATATTTTTGATATATTTAAATTCAATTATAAAAATCAAAGTTAATAAAATTAATATATATATATATAATATTTAAAAAACGTGTACCCTCTCTAGAAGCATAGACCCTTGTAGCATCCGTGACATTAATTAATTGTCCTCATATGGCGGCTAGAGTCAGCCATAGATGCCAACCTTGACCGTTCTCCACAGTTATCGGCCTACATTCATTTACTCATTGCAAACTTTTCAATATCAATTCTCTATAAATAAATACAAAATTAAGCTATTATTTTTTTATAAAATTTTTAGTAACACGTTTTTTAATTTACTCTTTAAAAATTATAAAAATTATGTAAATTTTATTTTTTATTCATAAATGAATATTTTTTAATAAAATTTATTCTATAATAAAAAATGTGTTTAAAAGAGTATGTTTCTAACCTTTCTTATGTTTCTAACGTAGGGCTGCTTAGCTCTAACACGAGAAATTTGCATTACTTGGGTCATTTTCAGACCTGAAGCTGAAGTATCTTTTACATATCAACATTTTCACATGCTACTATTTTTGTATCCCTTTGTCATCTATGGAGTAATTGCTATTCAATATATTTGATTTCCACCCTCTAAAAGGAGCAAGCATGTATAGTTATTTTTATTTAATTAAATTTTATTGATTTCTTCTTATTTTCACTCTAGTTGGTAGTGAGGGGCTGCTTATTATACATGGATAGGCTGAAAACTTAAAAGGGATAAATTATGAATATAACATGTAATTTAATCTATTATATCTTTAAAAAAAATTAATAATAAATATTAATAAATTATTAATATAATTTATTAGATAATTAAATTTTTTAAAAAATTTACTAAAGTCACTTTTAAAAATGATATTTAATTGAATTAAATATTTTATTAATGTTTAGTATACTATTATTAAAGATAATATTATTTTTTCTGAAGTCAAATTATCTATGTTACTGTAAATTATACTATTACAGACTATTTTTATTTTTTTAAATAATTATTATAAAAAAGTAAAAGTTAATAATATAATAATTTAAACCTTAAACAATTGAATTTTAAAGCAAATTAAATAAACTTGTGTATAATAATTCATATACATTCTTTTAATTAAAAAAACACAATTTTAAACAAAATAGGCGGATTTATATGTTACCACCTATATGTTAAAACTCAATAAACTCTTGCATGAAAGGTAAACGTATATATTAGAAATGTAATATAAAACTGTTTATATATCTTACTTAATATCTTTTGAATAATCATTTTCTCTTCAACTGTTGTCATTATGTTCAATTTCTAATTAATAACATGATGAACTTTTTCTTTATTTTTATTTGCTGAATTTTGCATATACATTTGATCATGTACAACGAATTAAAGTTTACAATTTTCCATTTGGCCAGCAATCAAATGCTGGAAAATGTTTATTAATTTCATGATACGAAAAATAACTTGGAAATTTTTTTTCCCTAAAGGCTATGCATATCAAACTTTCTCTTCTGTATACAATCACACCAAATAATCATTTAACAAAGGAACACCCCACATATACCTGTTAGGCAACTACAAGTGGTATATATGTGATTAATTTTATCATTCATCTGGCACCAATGGACTTTATATAATGAAATTGTAAACTTGTCATTTATACACTTGATTTCAGCCAAAGGGTCAAGAAAAATATTTTACTAATTTCTAACAATTGAAGTGAACTATGTTAAAATGAATATAGGGTGCTGCTACATGTCTGATTTACACAATTCGGATTCTCAAATAACTCTGGTTATCACAATTGAAAAAAAAAATGACAAATTTGTATTTTACTATCTTGAAATTTGACTCATATGCAAAGTAATTTCAGATATTTAAAAAATATATTTTGTTTTCTAATATTTTTAAAATGTGTAAACATTTTTTTGTAATTTTATCTCTGTAAAAATTGTTATAATATTAACTAATTAAAATATACCATGAATAACTTTTAAATAAATTATTCAAAAGTTTGTTATCTGAAACATAATTAAAATTAACGGTAATTGGCTTCACGATATATTAAAATTATGTGTTACGGATCTGTGATTAAAGATTGAACATTCCTAACTATTTAAAACCAAACCAAGTCTCCTAACTCTTTTCATTTGATCCAAGAGTCAGAGACAAAAATACGGTTCTTACGTTTTTACTCCTCCCAAGGTTTTAAGAAACGATTTTTTTAAGGATTAATTACATTAACCTTTTAGAAATACATAAATTACATTTTTTTATAAAATCATTTTAATTGCACTTCCGTTTATAGTTACTAATTTTGTTTTTATATTTAAAATAATAAGTGTATGTTTTTCAATTAATACTCAATTTCTAAAATAAAAGAAAATTATTAAAAAAATATATATAATATATTCATATTGAAAAGCTCTTTTTCTCTAATTTTAAAAGGACTTGTAAGAAATAGCATTTTAATAATTCTACTGAATAAAACAAAAAGTACAATGTAAATGGTGCTGTGAAAATTTTCTTTTTAGAAATTACACGAGCAAGTATTGTGTGCATTGCACATTCATATAAATTATAAAAATATAAATTGTAAAATTATTTGAGGAAAATTTACTTTAATAACATGAAATTTTATGAATAAAAAAAATATAAGTCTTTAAAATTGAAAACTTTTAGAATACATTTTAATAATTATTATAAATATCTTCTTGTACTTAATATAGATTAAAAAAACAAGTGCTGATTAAAAGTATTAATAAACTAACAATCTGACTTGATTTAATTTTAATAATATTTATATATCATCAATTAATTAGAATACATAACAAAATTAATTTTAAATTAATAATTATTCACTTAAATGATAATTTAAATTGGATGATAATATAAACGTTTTTTTATAGTTATATTATTTGTGGATTCAAATTAAATATAAAATCTCACAAAACGCGTTTCATTCATAATTTTTAAAATACAAGGATGTTAATATATACCATAGAAGTTAAATTATTTTCTTTTGGTGAATATTATGCACAAGCCAAGAAAAAATTATTACAAGAAAGCTTATTTATATTAAAATGAAATACATATTTTTAACTAAAAAAATATACAACACAAATTTTTTTAATATAAAAGTATATATATTTCATTTCTCACTCTTAAAAAAAAAACAAAACTATAGAGTAGAGAATCCCATGGCAACCAATAAGGACATGAATACATGCTAAATTGATGGATTGACGAATGTTGGTGAATTCAATCAGGCTACATGAATCAAATAACAGTATCACATCATCATCGTCTTAAAGTTAGTAATAGTTTAGTTTCTACCTTCTATCTTCATCTACAGAACAAAACAAAATTCATTGTATTCAGGTTTTTAAAATAATGTCTATGACTCGAAAAAACAAAAAATGCAGCATGTGATCACATGCTAACAATCTTTAGCTTCCACCATACCCGCTTGATTGGCAGAAATATTGTAGTCACCCACTCTCTGACCCCCCAAATGAAAACCAAATACGATGTTTTATAATCTTAAAATGGTGTAAGATCATGTTACTAATAACGACATAATAATGCTCACCACTTGATTATATATTCAATATTTATATCTGTATAATTTCTCAATTTTAGTTATAGTTAGTTTCACCTAAGTTTTACATTTTACTATCTCCCACACAATGATTTTTTATTTTTTGTGAATTTTTATACACAAAATATCTCTATTTAAAAAACTTGATTGAAAAAGATACAAATACATGGCATATGAGATGACGTGATGAAAAAACTGATCAAGCAGCACATGGAACAACAATGGGACACGTGTCAAAGATCTAGAAGTGAATTTGGTGGGGGGTACACAGGGAATAACCCTCACCAAGTAAAATAATAGGGAAACATAGATATAGTTGATTGTTTTATAAGCTTTTAGGTATTGCCGTTGGTTTAGAGAGAGAAAAATTTTCACTGTTGGGTTCCTCTATATGACCCATTAAGGGTCTGCGTGTAAAGTCTCAAGCATTTGTCATCACTCAAGAGAGAGTGGACAAGTCCGGTCAAATTTGCTGCACCTTGGCCTGCACCTTCCTTTCTCCATCTCCAATTCTTCACCCTCTTAAGCCTTCTTCCTCGTTGCCCTTGTGATCATAACACACAATAGAACAACACACACATATATATAGTTCTTTCAATTATTTTTTGCAATAAGCCCGCATATAAGCTGAGGCAGGATTAATTTGAATCGAGTCATAGGATCCGACAACATGGGTTTTTCCTCCAAAGAAGAGAAATCCAAAAGGATACTAAGAGGTTTGAAGACTGTATTCTTCTTGATCACCATGGTTATATCGCTTCTTCTTTTCTCCGCGCCGGTTCTCCTTGTTATTGCCGATGCACTTGTTCCTTCTGCTTTGCTCTCTACACTCTCCCCTACTTCTCTGTCCTTGGAGACTCTCTCTTCCCATTTCCACAACTACGATTTTCGCTACTCTCTCATTGATATACCCCTTGTCTCCATAATAAGATCCTTCATCATTTTCTGTAAGTACATCTTAAAAAAAAAAGATTGTAATTTTTTTATTGATTTTGGAAGACCCTTTTGAATGTTGTTAAATGGGTTTGTGACATTTTTTTATGTAGGTGTTTATAGTTTATGCGATGGACCAAGGCTTTCTCGAGGGCCTTATTTGGGGATCACGACGATGTGCTCTGTTCTGTCTCTGATGTTTGTGTCGTTGAAAGCTGTTTACATCTTCAGTGTTTCGAGTAAAGGGTACGTTCCAGCCACCGAAATAGCGCTGTTCGTGTGTTCTTGTGCCTTGGCCGTGGGGCATATTGTTGTGGCCTACAGAACAAGTTGCAGAGAAAGACGAAAGCTTTTGGTCTACAAAATTGACATTGAAGCTGTAAGTCTCTACCCCCATTCACACCTCTTTCCTTCCCACCAAAGCCTAATTAAATTCTTAATTAATTGCGTGTTTAGGTGGAAGAACATCAATTTGCAAAATTTCACAGTAACTCTTTAAACCATGTTTGTAAAGTAAGTTAAAAGGCAAATGGTAACGAGTAGATTAAGGGTTGGTTAAGAAATAAAAAAATATTTTTTTTAAAAACTATAATAAATATAATCTTTAACAAAAACAAGTTGAAAATGTCTATTGCCATTTATAATATTTTTATGCAAAAAAAAATAAAATTAGAAGGAGTAACAATAAACATTTTAAAGTGATAACAGATTTTGAAAATTTTAATAAAAAAAATATTAAATTTAAGTTTTTTTTTTTATATGCACACATTTTTTAAATAACCTTAAGTTATTTTTAGATTGGTTGCTTTTTAGTGAAACTTACAATTTAGTTTCCCGTTTTGGTTGTTGTATGTTTTGGTGACCCTGGGAGTAAATGGTGGGAAATTTAGTGAGGTCCCACGTAAGTTCTATTGTTGATGGAGGAAACTTCGTTAGGGGCTTTACTTATTGGCGTTAGTAATATATAGTGTATAAGAGTTGATTTTCCTACCTCTCTGGAAGGTCAATTACTTTGATGACAGTTCCTCTTGAATGCTAGAACGCAAAATTCATATTGGCCATGTGTTTTCAGCTTTGGCAACATCGCTTGTTGACTTTTCAAAACAGCCAAATTGAGTTGGAAATTGGGCATGGTATATGGTCATATGAGGGGATGTTGGAGTTGGACTCTCATTAAATCAACCAAATTATTCTTCCATGGGTTGAACCCTAAATTTTTTTTAACTTATAATAATAATAGTATTGATGAAACGATTTATTTTTTCTAGAAACACGTTGATTGTGATAGAAATAGGACTTGGTCTCACACATATAAATCGTTCTTTAAAAAAATCTTGTGTCCAAAGAATCTTCATATATAAGATAAAATGGGAAAAACCGCCCTTAATTGATGACTAAAGTCCACCATTTATAGTTTACAAATATCTAGGTGTGTATTTGATCATATGGCATATGCAAAGATACGATAACGCATTTTGATTGTTAAATTATAACTTTCAAGCCTAAGATCGTGGCCTTCAATATTGCCATCCAAGTTGGAGGTTGCCCACTAAGTACAGTTAATAACATATTTCTCTCTCAGTCACAAGATATAAACAAATTATTCTCACGTGCCTCAAACATTAGTTTGGTTTTTACATGTTTATCCTATAAAAAATTTTGATGAAGACATTAACCATGTTCTACTTTTGATGTCTGTGCAGATTTCGGCTTGCAAAACTGGGTATCCTAGGTATCCGAAGATTCCTCAAGAAGAAAGAGTCAAATGAAATCACTGTGGCACTAAAAGATTAGAGGAATTATCAGTTAAACGTATAGATTTTCAACTAACAGCTTCAGTTATTCATATTAAGTTCTTGTGTGCGTCAAGAGATGCCACGGTAATTATCTTTTAAATACGAATTATTTTTGTTGCAAAATAAAATAATGATTTCTTAAACCAAAACCTAATTGCTACCCTTTTTGTCTTATTTCAGGTTTATCCTAAGGATGCCAGCAACCTTGACATCTAACACACTAACACTTAATATAGTTTATCGCTACCATGATACATCAAGTTGTTGAATGGTGTTTAGGTATATATGTACAATTGAGCTTCATCATTGGCGATTCATGTAACAACTATTTTGTTTCGTGTATATCTTCTTGTATATATATATAAGTCAAAGGATTGTTAGTAGTGGTCAAAGGCCTACTTCATGGGATTTGTATTCTGATTGCTTTATATTGATGTTTGGTGCAGTGAGACCATATTTTCAAATTTATAGTTTGAATTCTTGATGGTTGAAATTATAATCTTATGGTAGTCGTAAAAAAATATTAAAAGGTTTCACACACAAAATTTGATTTTTTTTTATTTAATATAAAAATATAAAATGTCAAGCTTTTTACCTAACTCGTTGGGTTACTGAAAAAAAAAAATTATACACGTTTTCTAAAAAATAGAAATATTTTCCATTTTACTTATAAGATTCCTCCAAGTCTAATAACCCTTTGTCATTCATCAATTTTCAACTTTTTATGTTCTTGATCTTTTATTCCGTCGTCGTTCGATAATAAGTTAATAATTTTGTTTATTTGAAAAAGACCGATATGAAGTTTCTAATTTAAAGTTAACTGTTGATTATTTTGCATCCAACAAACACTATTGAGCTCAATTTGAGTTTTTGGTTTTTAATTTACATTTTTCTGCTAAACTATTAGTTAATATAAATATTTTCTTAAAAAAATACCTTTTTTCGATAACTATGATCATGCTATTTTTCTAAAAATTATTTGATTATAAAATTACTCATATTTATAGTATTATAATTGTAATATACATTTTTTGGGTCTGAGTTTAGTTATATACATAAGAGATGATTTCAAGACAACTCCAATACTATGGGTAGCCGTTGATTAATTTGATAGGGTCATGACTCATACCGTTATACCCACGAATAAATCAGAAATAATTTTATGAAAAAAGTCATGAGAAAACCCCACCTGAACATTTTTAAGGGAATAACAAAGTTGCTTTTGAGCTTAGTTAGTAAATATATCATTTATAATATTTCTATGACTTGGCTTTAGTTTATATCTCTCGGGTCTACCTACATTTTCAATATTAAAAAAAAGAGAGTAATAAAAAGAATTCCTATAATAATATCTCTTCCACACGTTGGAGTATTATTTGTGTATTAACAAAAGAAAAAATAAATAGTATTATGTTTATTTATTTTAAGACATTCTTATATGACATAAATTTTGAAGTATTGTCAGCTATATAACTATATAAGCAATGACTCACAATAATATTTATTTTCATATTCATAAATCTCAAAATTAAATCCAATGTCACATAATTAAAAAATCAAATCCCTTCAACTTAGATCACCATAAATTAATTTCTTAACTACTTTTTTTTTTATTAGATAAGTTACATATGAGCCTTATTGAATAAAATGTAACCTAAACAATTTAACGATGCCAACGTAAAATTTATTAAATAAGTAATGTGTTCTTTATAGTCGTGATAAATATCATATTTTTTTTTTATAAAATAATATAATTTTTAAAAATATATTATTAACACTCTTCTGGATCTTAACCAATGAAATTTAGGCCTTAGAAATGTAATAACAGCAATCTACGAAATGGGCCAAGCTCTTTTAGGCCTCTCAAATTCAAAACCCATAAAGAGGGAAACTAAAAAATCAGATTATTGAAAAATAATGCAAGAGTGAATACGACGTCGTTCTTGCGCATCTAGGAACCAACCCGCCGGAAAGAAAAGAGTAAGGGTTTCAAACTTAAGAAGAAGAAGAAGAACGATGAGGATCACGGCGGAGCCGAGCTCGGAGCCAAGCCGCTCTCCAACTCCCAAAGACGAAGTTGAATGGCTCCCACTTCCCAAACACCCTCTCTTTACTGCCGCCGCAAACGGTGGTTCCGGCACCGCCATTTCCCGGAACCTACTTGCCTGGGACGGAGCCTCTCGCCTCTACTTTTGGGACTCCAACAACAACTTCCTCCATCGCCTCTCTCTTCGCCTCGGCGACCCCGATCCACCTTCCGTCCTCGCTGCTTTCCCTTCTAAGGTCCTTCTTCCTTTCTCAATGCTCTGCATTTAGCGTTTCATAGAAGTGAGAATTTAAACAGAAATAGAATCAGATGTTAATTCTTGAAATTGGCGATGAATTTGAACAGGTGTTACAAGCGGACGGGGTGCTTGATTTCGATGTTCAGAAAATCTCCATCAACCGGAACGGAACTGCAATACTCCTTTTTGGTTCTGAAAGTCTCTGTGTTATGTACCCCTATGGACGCACTTCTAGAAAGGACGTGAACTTGATTTGCAGGTATTTTTGCTTCTTATTCTACTAGCACTAGGGGCTTATGTTTTTTAATGAATAAGCTCTAGTTAGCCATGTTTTGATGTTTCTTCAATATTTCTCGTTGATTAAAGTTTGAAATTAATAGTTGTAAGTTATCTTTATCTGGTCTTCTAGTTTAGTTTTGAGGTGCATTGCATAGGTAGAAGAGAGATGACTATAATGCGTGTAATGTTGGAATATGAGTTTCTCTTACCGTGTTGAAGTTTTTTTTTTTTATTTGGATATCTTGTTGCAGGACTATTACTGTTGGTTCTCAAACGTATTCTACCGGCAGCAAAGATATTCGTGTGTTACAAGCGTTATGGCACCCTTACAGTGATACTCATTTGGGAATCCTTTCTTCTGATTCAGTTTTCCGGTGAGCTTAAAAAAATCTATACATATGTTGATGTACAATATTGTTTACCATGTGGCTATGGTGTGACTTATGAAGCATTAATGTTGATCATTTGACGGGTAATCTCGGTTTATGCTAGGGTGGGAAGATATTCGATTAGTTTCAGAAGTAATAGGGAGTTTAGATGTACTTAAATTTGAAAATTGAGAGACCACTCTTTTATAAGTAATGGAAGATCAATTTGATTTTATGACGTGACAATTTTTGTTGCAAATTACCTACACTGTTATTTGAAGTCTGTTTTGACGTCATGTATGTTACTATAAGAGGATAACAAGACTTGCTCATACGTGCACCAATTATTTGTCTCAATGAAGAAAGTGAAAATTTCATCCAACCATTAGTTTATATGTTTGACTGCTATTCTTTTTAATCCTTATTTTGTCATGTTTCCCTCTAATTGCCAACTCATCTTTGTAGGCTTTTCAATCTGGCTGTGGATCCTTTGCAACCGGAGCAAGAATATTATTTACAGCCTGTTGAGCCTGGTAGATCAAGGAATGCCTCATCAGTGTGCCCGATTGATTTTTCTTTTGGGGGAGACCACTTATGGGACAGGTTTAGTGTAAGTTCTGCTGTTATTCTGTTTATCTTAATTTTCAGTTTTTTGATAGTAACCTCTAGTGATTCTACTTTAGTTTTAAACATTTTATTGTTTGTGCTGTTTAACAGGTTTTTATTTTGTTCAGTGATGGGGCTATTTATGTACTTTGCCCTGTTGCTCCATTTGGAAGGTATTTTCTTTAAAGGGCTCATATCCTACTCATAGATAGTTCTACATTTGTGACTGTTTTTCCTGCTTATGCACAGTTTCTTCAAATGTGAGCCTCTATTAGAAATATACAATGATGCTCATACATTTGGGCTAATATCAGCCAACTCTTTAGCGGCTAGTAATTCAAAGTTAGCAATCTCCTGGTTAGAAGCAACATTTCCCGAGTTACAGAACCAAGAAACTGAAGGAGACAACCTGTCTTTGCTAAGAGCTCACGCTTATGCTTTATTTGATGCATCTCTTGTCTTGCAGGTATACTTATATTTTGTTTTGGACTTTGTCAGCTGTATTATCAGTTGATGGAGTAGTGTCTCTGACAGTTTGTTCCACCAGTCGTTGTGTTACATATTATGCTTCAATTTTCTAGGGACCTCTGCGAAGAGTAGGTCAGGACAGGAATGAAGATTCAGTTGGTCGTAGTGCAGAATGTGAAGGCCGTGCAGTTAATTTTCTTTATAATTTAGTCAGCAAAGACTCTATTTTGGTGACTGCCTGGACTGGTGGGCAATTACAGATAGATGCTCTAGCCGATGAAATCCAACCTGTCTGGAGTATTGGTAGTCCACCTCGTCTTCGTGTTGATTCCCATGACCAAATTCTTGGCCTTGCTATGATTTGTGAGTCAATTGCCAGCGGCTGTCTGGAGAAGCTTGATCATAATGCCTGGTTGGGTAATCCACCACCCTTGCTGAGACTTGCCGTTGTTGATTTGGCTCTGCCACAAAGAGCAGAAAGTGGTTATAATATTTCATTGTTCATTGATACCCTTATGCCAGAAAGAATATATTCTCTCCATGATGGAGGGATTGACTCAATAGTTTTGCATTTTCTTCCATTTACAAGTCAGACAACTGGCAAGGATGATACAATGAGAACGCCGTCTGTGCATCCTGTTCTAAATACTTGCCAGAGTGGATGCACCTCAGAGCCTTCATTCTGTGGCTTTGTGTCATTATCAGATTCATTTGGATATTCATGGATTGTAGCTATTACTCTTTCTCATGAGTGTGTCATGTTTGAGATGAAAACTTGGAACCTGTTGCTTCCAGTAAGCATTGATATGGAGAAGAAACCCATTCCACCAGAGGGGGAATCAAAAGAGAGAGAGATACCAACAATAATTAGCAAAGAACTGCTTAGTGGTCCCAAGGAGGTGCTTGTTCCTCAGGCCTCTCCAAGTTTGCGATCGGTTGCTTCTGATTCAATTGAAGGCCGATCAACATTACATCAGTATTTCAAGCTGTTTCATGAAACTTATGTGGAGTATGCACATAAGGTAGGACTACCATAATGTCCCAGCCTTTTAATGTTGGTTGATCTCTGTGTCTTTATTCTGATTTCTAACCTTGCATATTTGTCCTATTTGTTATCTCAATTGTATTCTCTAATCAGATTTGGCCTAAGCTGAAGAAATAAGCTTAGGTCAAGAGTCATTATTATGTCAACAGAAGGCTGATTTTAGCATACATAATTAAAATATAAATTCTTTTGAATGAAGCTAAGAGTTTATTGATAATCATTTGTTGATATACTTGTAGGGGAAGATCTCCTTAGATTATATTAGAGGTTGTATTTTATTAGCAAATTATGATAAATTGTGGTAGTTTATAACTATTAAAAGTTAATTCATTAGTTCTATATTCTATAAGGTGCCTAATTGAAATGGGATTATATAAGCATAATTTTACTGAATACAGCTATGCTTTTTTATAATAACCATTGGCTCTTTTCATTTCATTTTCTGTCATGATAGGTGTACCTGGAGCTCAAGCATCACGCACCTCAGTTAAAGAAAATCATTAATGACCAACATTCAAGGTTAGCAGAAGCACAACAGAAACTATTGAAAGTCGAGGAGAAAGAGTCTATATTACAAAAAAGGATAGATCGTGCAATTCAAATGCACAATTCTTTGGAAGATCGCTTGCAACAATTAAGGAACTTACCTTGTGCTCATAAAAAACCACTCTCTAGTGCAGAGCGTCAATTTAAATCTGAGCTTGGTAATGAATGTTTTATACCCTATTTTTAGTATTTGTCTGTCACTGAAATTTTGAATACCATTTTTAAAGTTTCGCACTTAATGGTTTGCAATAATCTTTTGCTTTTCACATGATCTCTTCCTGAACCTAGACATGTTCATTCTCTCACTCTCCTTTCCCTTAGGCTATACACTGCCCCCCATGTATTATCTACCATCACTTCTGTCTACTGGAAATTTTTTTTAGAATTACTAAATCACACCCTGTATTTTTCCAGACCACTTCAAGGATGTTGAGTTGGATGCTTTGCATTCTTCTGTTGATGCACTAAATGCAAGGCTGAGAAGGCACTTGCAAGCTTCAAAAGCCAGTCACCAACAACAGAAAACATCAGGGAAGAAAACTTATGGTGGAGATGATCAGATATCCATGCTCAAATCATCGCTCGAAAAACTTTCACTTGTAAATAATGAAAACTCAAAGAAAGTTAAACTTGTGGAGTCTACATTGAGAAGCAAAGAAAGAAGCAGCCGAGAATCAAGCCTGCCTCTGCTCTAAAACTGTCCTATGGCTTTTACTTTCAGTAGGACAGGGGTGGTTCTGAATTATTATGGTCCTATTGTTTGCACACCCACCATTCAGTCGCCCCAGTGTGTCACGAAAATTTGGGTATTTGATAGAAAGAAGTTGGAAGTACAGCTAATATATTTATTTATAAACTAGATTAATTTCAATGTCGAAAGGGAAAAAAAATTGCAGGGTCAAACTCTGTGGTACTTCCCTCAATGTCAGTATTGGAGAAGAAATGCTAGGATGCCTTTGTCACTAATTTAGAAAGGAACACGAGACTAATTATGTTGTTCGGTTGGATGTTAGTGAAATGGAATTATAGATCGACTTCATTTTGTACTATTAATTTTAATTGAAAGTGAGTTTGAAGTAGAGAGATTTATGTTTAGAAATTATTTTCTTAACAGTTCAAAGGAAAATTTAGTATAAAATTTTAAATTTATTGTAAAAGTTATAATTTATTATGTTGATTCAAATGCGAATTTAGAAATAAAATAATTTTGTTATAAAAATATCAAACAAGTTAGCATAGGTTTTTAACTGTTTATATGTTCAAACTTATTCTGGAGGCTTTTAACGCGATCCAAACATGGCATATGAAGCTTTTCAATTCCTTCTCGGAGGCTACAGCCGCCAAAAACTAAGTACTTGGATATCTTTAGGGTCTGCATTGCAAACAAGTCCATTTTGAGTGAACAATTTCTTTCAGTTTATTGCTATATATAAACACTGAAAAATGAGAAGAGAATAACTTAAAGAGAGATATCTTGCATAATCAAAAAGTTTATATTGCTTATTAAAATCATATTGTTTCACAGTAACTGAAACTGCTGATTGATATGCCTGCACCTTGAACTAAAATTTCTTTTACGGTCAACAAAACTTGCACGAGTAAAATACACAAGCATAAAGAGTAAAATAGGTTGAATAAAATGCCAAGTATTATCTTAAAAAAAAAACTAAAAAAGCAGAGTCGTTTTCAATCTGTGCAGTCCAGACAATGAAGGGTTTATTTGAATGCTTTCAAGTAAGTTATTGATCTTTAATCGTGAATTTGGAAATAAGATTTCAACATTATAATGAACACACACACACACACACATAATAGATTGCAATTTTTTTTTTTAAAATGGCTCGTGTAACTGCTGACAATTTCCCGAAATTTGCCTAATTGCTGCTTTGTTAGTTTGATGCGATTTCAAAAGGAAAGCATAATTGGAAACATCATGTTCATGTTGGCATGCTTGGTCTTCATGGACGTGCAGGTCCTAAACTGTTGCTTTAACGTTACATTACACAATCCAAAGCAAAATGAAAAGTGTTGGTAGATTTAATAGAGAGAGCATTCAAAATTTTTTTAACTCTTACATTTTTTTTGTGGATTTGATACCATTAGTCTCCATATATTTTAGGCTATATTTAATTTGACTTTGAATGATATCTACATCTTTATGTTCAGACAACTTTTCTGATTAAGAAGCATTGAAAAGAGAATTAATTAAGATCATATATGAACTGCTAAACTGGTAGATATAACTTTATTAATTATTTGTGTATAATGAACATATATAATGATCTACACTCAACTTCCTTTTCTGCCTTCTCTATCTGTTGTGCTCTTAATTCTCATATTGCTATACATGATCTGCACTCCTCTCCTCTCTAGTCTCTACGGTTCACTATAATAGGATACCTCTTCTGCGTCCTAGTGGTTGGGAAAAACACCAACTTATCTTTCTCTGCAGGAACCCAACTGCCATTGAATTCAAACCACAACATTAGTGATACTAGAAAGACTGCGTGTTTGGAATTCATGTACTTTCAAATGCAAAACACACGTTCCAATAAAAATGTATGATTCAGATTAATTTATGTACATATTCGACCGCTCAAAATTAATTTTATTAAAATCAATTTTACTCAACTTTAAAACTGATTCAGATTAATTTATGTAGGCATCTCAATCACATTCGATGGCTCAAAATTAATTTTATTAAAATCAATTTTACTTAACTTTAAAGCGTGCACCTAAGCATGCATAACTAAGCAAAATGTTTGTACCTGAAGCGGGTGACAATGCGGTGAAGGAAGACAGAAAGTACAACTCTGGCTAGCTCATAGCCAGGGCACAACCGTGGCCCTCCACCAAATGGTGTATAAACATTCCCAGGGTTTGTTGCTTCTGATGAATTACTCTGATCAATTTGGATCACAAGTAAGTAACTGAAGGATCAAATTTTTAAATGTGACTTGACTTACATTAATAATAAAGAGTGAAGTACCTGCCATCTCCATGGATTGAAGGTGCGGGCGTCTTTATAATGTTCAGGATTCAAATGTACAGCCCGAAATGATGCAAACACCTTCCATCCCTTTGGAATAGTGTAACCTATTACAAGTGAAGCATTGAAACTTTGATGTAAATTGAAATGTGCATTGTTTTGCCTATTATATACTTAGGCTCTTTCAGGGTGGTTACCTTTTATGTCGATATCTGTCATTGCTCTCCGAAATATCCCACCAATTATGTTTGCTACCCTCAAGGTCTCATTCACAACCTATGATTAAGACCAAGAAAAGGACAAGATTATAAACACCCACAAATTAATAATTAATAGTATTTACTCTTTGTATCCTTGCTGTTATTTGATTAACATTTGAGGATTGAGTTACATATTTTGTATGTATACTTACACATTGAGTAAATTCCATTGACTTGTAATCTGTCCATTCCAGTGCTGCCTCTGGGTCACTCCTTGCTCTGATTTGGTCATGCTCATCCTGCCAAATGACAAAACCAATGTCTCAAATAAAACTCGAGTTTGGATCATGAGTGGCAGTGACACTCTAAAATAATGATGCAATTAATCCTCCATAGTGTCATTTACATAATAGCAAATTCAAACAGTAATCAACATATTGGGTTTGATGCAATGAAACATGAAGCCATATAGCAATGCCTAGCCAATGCCTCCATGCTTGCAGGGTACGTGAATCCTAATAATCACACACTTAAGACATGTTTATTATTATTAAAAAAAATATTAACTTTATCTTTAAAATCGAATTTAATCATCTAATAGTAAAATTTCAACTTTAAGTGTGTCTACTGTCACTCTAGAACTCTGTTATCACTCTTTTAAGTGATTTTTGTTTAAAATATCTTTTAATTTTTCTTATTACTATATTAATAATAAAACTATTTTACCGGAAAAAATCAATATGCTATGCTGATGCTGGTTTAGGACTAACATGACATGGTGATGTTTCATTTAATTACACGAACGGGTGATACTAAATGGTCATCGAAATCAGAGCCACACGAGTTCCCACGTATGAATGGGAGCGAAGGAGATAACTCTGGGGCCTGGCAGGACAAGTTCTGCATAACACAAAGTACTTTTCTGCTTCTGCAGAGTGCAGATGACGCAGACGCAGAAGCAGGGTGGCAAAGGGTATTTTCGTCTTTCAACCACACACACACGTACCATCAGGTCAAAAGACCAATACCAAGCGTGCGCATTGGATGTAATAATGTTGCCTCTTGGTTCCACCAATGTCTCCTATCACTTTTTTCTTGTCTACTTTTCTATTATGTTTTCACACCCATCATTTATTTTCTCTCTGTTAAACCAAACATTTGTTTTATTATTAATATTTGTCCATTACTTTCTCAACTATTTCATATATTTCCTTTGTGAGAGATGAGGAAACATACAAAAATGTTAGGCAAATGTCAAATACTGTGATTCTTTTTTTGTATATTAAGGTATCTATCAATTTGATTTATTTGAGATGTAAAGATTATCAAAACAATTGTTTGTGTACATGTACACATAACAACCAAATTCTATAGAATATACTTAAAGAATTCAGTAATTTATTGTTGTTTCTGATACTAAATATGAAATTCTTCTAATCATTTCTTAAAAATTAGAGAATATATAGTTAATTTTATTAATGACATTAAATTTGCAATAATTTGAATGATTAAGAAAATTTAAAAACTACTCCCAGATCATATCCTCCCTTTTTCGTGATGGCTCGCAGTGAAGGCTTTAACTACAAGTTTTGAATTTATTTAACACGACAGAACAAGAAAACCAGCCATCAAATCTTTTCCTCTCTCTCTCTCTCTCTCTCCATCTTTTTAGGCGAAACAAGAAAAGGAATCTCATAATACTTCATACTTTTCCATTTTTAGATTATAGTCGTTAACTAATTCTTTATCAACAACTTAAGAAAATTTGGTTTCGTTAATCATTCTACTAGCTAAGGTCAATGGTTAAAAAATTATAAAATTTAATACAATTTAATATATTAATAATGTTAAACGTTATAATTTTTAATAAAAATATATCATTTATTAAATTTTTTATCATCTATGATTATCCTAAATCCCAAGTTAAAAAATTTGATACATTAAACATCCACCAAAAGTGAAGAGAAACAATATAATAATAATTCATCTTTTAAAGCATCTTTTTAAATATACTGATTTAAATGCATTTTAAATTATAAAAATTACATGAATATTACTTTTAATTTAATAAATAACATCAATATTTTTATAATTTATAATAAATTTAAGAGACAGGATGGAAGAAAGGATGAGATGATCAGATAACGAAAATGAGGTTGCAAAGGAAGTAACACCACACGGTGGGGTGGTGGTGGTCATGGTGGGGTTTCTTGCAGCCACAACCATAAGGTCCACTTAACTCCCAATCAAATCCAAAATTGAAGACCAAAATTCCAAGGAATAGAAGTAAATAAAATGCATGAGCGTAGATAAATTTGTTTAACCATGAGGCACGCCACTAGTTTTGTGAATCGTGTTCTACGTAAACAAACTTTAATTAGTCACATACATAAAGACATTATCATAGAATATACTTATTGTCATAATCATACAAATAATATAATTACATTAATAACAAAGTTATTGTGGTTAGGCTTTACGTACCTTAAGCTGTGCCAAGGCCAGAGGAGTCTCAGTGAGGAACTTCACCGCAAGAGTCATTATTGTAGAAGTGGTTTCATAACCGGCGACGAGCAAAGCCAACATAAAATCCACTATTTCTTCGTCGGAAAAGTGGTCACCGGAGGCCAACAACGCCCCAAGCATGTCATTCTTTTTCTCTTTCCCTTCATTGCTCTCTTTTCTCCTCTGCCTCACTACCAACGTTAGTGCATCCGCCACCTTTGTTCTTGCCTAAAAAATTAATATGCATTAATACGATTAGTATTATAATAAATACAATGGATTTTTTTAATATGTGCATCGTTACATATAATAAAAAATGGGAGAGAAAATTAAGGTGCATGCACCTTGATGGCTCTGCGGTAGGTGGTGGAGAAGAGAGGAAAGGGGAGGGTGAAGAATCCTTCAATCACAAGAACGTACTCTTTCCTTAGAGTTTCAGTCCATTCATCAGGATCAAAGCTCATCAATTGCTTCACAGTAAGTTCAAATGTTATCTGCAAGTAACCCCACAACAAGTGTCAAAACAATCATCATCATCATTATTAGATAATTAAATTAAGAGAGGCTAGTTAGTAGTATTAGAGAAGGAATTAATAAAAAGCAACCCACTTCCCTTTTTACACGTCTTATAAAAACATATATATTCATACATGTGCATGCTCGCCCAACATGATGATGACCCAATGTTTTATATGCAGAGTGATTATTATCCTTTGCATCCGAAAAACCTTTTCAGCTAAGTTAACGCGATGTAAGGGCTTATGTGCAAGGGATTGGACCCATTGTACCAAACCATGGAATCCGAGTCACCATCCCCATTCCCATTACGTACATCACAATCACATGCTAACCCCCATATTAATTAATTAATTAATTCACCCATCAACCAAAATTCAATACTAAAATAAAACAGAACAAAAAGCTCAAACACACACACACACACACAAACTTCAAAAATTAAAACTTTCAAGTGCTAGTTAGACACAGTGATAATTAACTTTCCACCAATAACTAAACAAACAACACAAGTTCCAGATAATAAAAATGAGGTGTAGAAAGTCGATCTTGGTCCACCATCTCTCTCTCACACACATCATACACACACACACATAAACACACCATATGATGTGATAATGGTGAGTGAGTGAGTGAGTGAGCTAGACTCGAGCGATCCACGCCCGAGTTGACTCAATACATACACATGTAAAATGTTCTAGCTTAAAAAGAATTTATTAAAAAGCATATTAAATTTATACCACCAACATTTTAAAAAATTACCATTCAATTTAGATTTGAAAAAGTAAAAGAAGTTAAACTCATTTAATTCGATGATTAACAAGAAGAGGTACCAAACCTTCTTAGCTTCCTCCATGAGAAGAACCCGGTGGGTCCAGGAATCGAGGTTGAGGCAAATGAGCCGATCTATGTGAAGAAGAAGATGATCCTTGATGATGGAGGAGTTAGCGAAGCTCATAGTGAGAGAGTGCATTCTCTTGTGTAAAGCACCTTTCATTAGCAACAAAGAGTGTTTCCCAAGAAGGTTCGATATCGAACCAGGGTAACTGCAATCAAAGAGTTTCCCTTCGTTAAGAAGAATGAACCGGTTCGTTTCCGGGTCGGCCGAAAACACGGTCGGTTCGCCAAACACGTGTGTGGTGAAGATTGAACCGTACCGGTTCACGCGCTGGTCGATGAAAGGTTCCGGGTTGTCACTTTTGTATGCAGATATCAGCTGCAAGGTCTCGCCGATGAAGGGTAAACCCAAGCTCCCCGGCGGAAGCCGGAGCCGCCGGTAACGGGACACGCGGCATAGGAAGAGAAAGAGGGTGAAGATTGTGAGAAAGAAAAGGAGTGTTGGCAAAGAAGCCATTGAAAAAGATGAAGATAAATGGTACTAAAAGAAACAAGTGTGTGTCTATATATATATATATATATATATATATATATATAAAGTGGTTTTAAATTTTAATGGTTAGAGAGAGATAAGAGAGAGAGAAGGGGCATTAATGGAAAGGGTGAAGGAGCACACGAGGGGGTGGGGGTACCTGTGCTGAGTGCTCAGAGTCTAGAAGAAGAAGAAGATGAAAATGATGTGTGGGGAAACAAATTATCGCATAATTACTATTATTAAGAAAATTTTAACCTTATTAAAAAATTTAAGAATTAATATTATTAATATGTTTTATTATATTTTTAGTAAAAATGATTAAATAATTTTAAAAAAATCATTAATAATATTTATAAAATTTATTTTTTGTTTCATTTTTCTTTATTTGTCTAATGATATATTTTATTTATTTATTTCCTTTTAAAGGTGTACTGTTGTGTAAACCATCTTTATCCAAGAAATGAACGAGGGATATTTTGGAATCTGACACTCTTTTTATCGTCTCTCTAGATTACTTTCTTTTTCTCTTTGTCTCTCGGGATAAGACTTTTGTTGTAGGGTGAAAAAGGAAAGTATAGGAAAGTTTCTTCTTTTTTTAATTTCCTTTTATCTTTTTATACTACTTTTTAATTCAAAAGAAAAACAGTTAACACTTGATGACTAAAAGGGAGTAATATTGAATACTTGAACCAATTTGCTATATTGCATATCCGGAAGCCTTTGCCTTTGTACTTGTTTAGTTTCTTTGGTGGCTGTAGAAACATTTTTAGTCAAATGCATTCTTTAAACCATGAATCAACTTTATAATGTATTTTTATATTGTACATACATATGTATGTATGTATATATCTTAAGTTACTTCAACATAATAGATAATTGATACGATGAAAGGAAAGTGTTAAAGTTGATAGTGTATTTTCATGACCCAATTCATTGTATCTGTATTTAATTAGAGAAGATGGGACATTATATTCTACTTAGGAGCAACTAATCATTTAGCCCATAACTTCATGTCATATAGTAGTCAAAATTAATATGCAATTTCTTGTAGACAATGATGCATGCAGCCCACACATCTAGCATTTTACCGAAGGAGGAGGGAATAAGTATGCAGCTACAATGGCTTTTCTAATCACTTTGCCTCTCATTTCTATCTAGTGATATGCATTATTGTTCGGCCCACAGAACAGAAAACAAGAACTAATGCTACTTCTCTGGTGGCCAAAACTCTCTTGTTTCTGAGTTCCCTCCCCCCAGTGGTAAGATTAGCAACTTGGTAAAGAAATTTTAGAGAAAGGGGTGATCATGTTCTGTTCTAAAGCAGAAAATGTTTCTAGCATTAAAAAAATTTGCATTTAGTTTTATCTTTTAAGAGATGACAGATGGATAAAGTTTTTATTCTTGATAGATATCAGAATCTATTTTATTATACTCGATTTATTCTCTAATGCAGATAAAATGTCATTAATAATTAATTTTGCCTACTATGCTGACCCAATTCCAATCCATGGTTGCTACTATGTTCAAGCTTAAAAAACATAACTTTAAGACCGTGTAACAATGATTTTTCATTCAGAAACTACTCAATATGAATTATTATTATGTTTTTTTTATATATATTCTGACATTTCAAGAAGAAAAACTCAAACAAATGCACTCTTATTTTGTTTTTAAATAGGTTAATCCATGTGAACCGCATAGTTCTAGTTTTTGCTGTAATTGACTTGAAAACGCTGAAATCTTCCCTTTCCGTTGTCTAACATACTTTAGACTAGATTATTGTCATTAATTAATTAATTAATAGGATAACACAAAAGTATAATGAAGTGCACATTAGCACTCATTCGAGGTGATGATAACATGCTGCTTCAATCACATCGTCCCTATATAACCTGAAAATAAAGATATGGACCCCAATAAAGGGGCATGAAGCCCTCTGTCCACAGAGAAAAACCCATGAATGATGATCCCATAGTAGCTTTTTGAAAAATTAGTTTGTGTGGTAAATTACATCATGTACGAAATGGATTTATAATTTTTTAATTAATTATACGAATTAAGCAGTGTAAAATTTTTTCTTTGTTATTTTTATTGAATGTAAATATATAATTTTTATAAAATTTTATATTTAGATTAGACCCTTCATTTTAAAATTTGAGTCGTTCTCCACAATTTCTTACCTCTTTGGAGTGTAACATAATAAAAAAAACATTTTTAAATGTACTTATTTTTTCCATTTAATTATTTACCTTTTCAAAACAAATATTTCGAAATTCTAATCGTTAAAACTATAACAATTATTGTAATTTCATCAATAAATTGTGATAAGAATTTTTATGATAATTAACATTTAAGTACATATATTTTGAATTTAGTAATTTTCAGTTTTTTTACATATATAAAAATTTAATAATGAAAATTAATTAAATTTAAAAAAAAATACAGTGTATAAAATGTCTGGTATTTTAAAATTTATTATTTTCTTCCTATATTTAAAAAATTATTTTTCTACCATGTTTTGAATTTAATTGCACATATTTTTCTTATAATTTTAAACATTAAATTGTGTTTAAATAATATATTCTCAAGGGAATATGCATGGGAATGTTCTGAAGGGAATGTTGGGCATTTGAATTTGATATATCGAGAAAGAATCTGAGATATATAATAATGAGGAATATGATGTATTGAAGGATTGGGAATATAGGTAATTAGGTAGGTTAGTGGTTTAGAGACAGATTAAGAGGCACGATTTGCGGGATTTGGACAAAATCCAACTTAGTGCTTTCACAACATATGGCCATTTATTTTTGTTTTTCTATTTTAAGATTTCCCATGTGTAAAATTTGCATGATATTTTCAATAATTTTTAAGTGTTTTTCATTAGTTTAAGATAGTGTATACTTTATAACCTAATTTATTTTAAGTTAACACTATTCAATATCTATTTAAAATTTTAGTATTAATGTATCCTCTTTAAAAGTATTCATGCATCTTAATATAAATTGTAATAACAAAATATTTTTTAATTATTATTTTAAGGACACTTAATTATTAGTAAGATTTTTTATCTTAATTTTTTACTAAAAAAAGATTAATCAAATAGAATTAAAAACAATTTTTTAAAAGGGATATTTATATAAAGAAAACTACAAAAATGTTAAGAAATAAAAGAATTTAACTAAAATGCATTAAAAGGGTAAATATATTTTTACAATATTATTTAATTATTAGTTATCATGTTAGTAAGAATTATTATTTTTTATAATAGTTGTATTTATTGTTTATTTTAATTCATTGAGAGTGTAAAAATGTTATAAAAGGGTATAACATATAATTAATTTACAAAGATATTGTTACTAGTACAAATAATTAATTTAATTAGTTTTTATAAAGTGATTAAAGGAATGTTGTATATAAAATCGAGCTAGTATTAACATTAAAATTTATGTCTTTTAATATTATTTTATCCATGAACCTTTATTTTAAACAAAGAGATAAATTTATTTTAAAATAAAACTTAGTACAATGCTTTAATTATTTTTTATTTTTTTTAAATAAAATTAAGTTATATCTCAACAACACATATAAAAATTAAAAAAAAGTTTTTAATTATTAAATCGTTCTCTTAAATAATGGTATTTTTTTTGAGATTTTTGTATTAAAAAAAAACAACTATATATAACATTAATTTTAAATATTTAAAGTAACAAAAGTGTTAAAAATAACTCTAAAATAATTTATCCATTTTTATTACATGTTGATGTGCATTTTTCTCTTTTTCCATTCCACTTCCCATGCAGTTTACGGGCAGATGTCAGTCGCACGAGTCAAAGTCAACACAAAGATTGTCCTCGCACGCATATCCCAAAAAATTTAATTTAAAAAAAAAATATTTAAATATTAACATTTAGAACTGGGTCTAATTATTTAAAAATAATAGATTCTTATTAAAAACAAATATAATATTATTTATTATATTAATAATATTAGAAAAATGATATTAACATAACAAATATTTATCAATAATTTTTATATAAAACATAAAATAAAACAAGTGACTAATAAAATAAGACAGTTGAATAAAAATTAAAAAATATTAATGTGATTTAGAGATAAAGCTGTCTTAATTTTGATTTAAGCAAGGTGGAAGAAAATGGGAATGTGATCACAAAAAATACTTTAATAATCGAGTTAATATTTGTACAAATATGAGTTATTCAACTTATTTAGACCAGTTCACATCGAAGATATAACAAATTTTAATGAACTAAGTTTAAAATAACTTAATCTAATTTGGATTCATAATTTTTTTAAAATAGATAAAGTTTATTATTTTTTATATTTATGAATTTAGTGTAAGATAAAAAGACTTGAATTTAATTTTAAGTTTAAAAATTAAAATTAAAATTCAAGATTTTATCTGCATATTCGAGGATGTATAAAACGCTGGGTGTACAAAACAATTGTACCTCAACAAACCTTAAACAAAAGTGGTCCAAGGTGGTTGATAATGAATTCTGAACTTTCTTAAATTATATCAAAACAAAAATAATATATTCCTCGTATGAAGAAAGAATATAATCTATCATTTTTGTAATCTTCTTTTTTATTTTCCCATTTGTTCACAGTTAAAAAAAAAAAACCTGATCCACCGTATTGAAAGTAAAGATCTTGAGAGTTTGCATAAGATTCAAAAGGAAAGAGAAAGAGGGAACTGAAAATATCCCCTCTTATTCACCTTCTCCTAATTTTTAGGTACCAAAAGCATTGGAAGAATTCTGATTGGACAAGTTGGAAAAATACCTGCATTTGTGTCCTTAACTCTTCTTAAACACCAATAATTATTCGGAAACTTTGTAATTAAACTAGTGGTAATAATTCGATTACCTTGATTGACATTAATTGCGGGCCTAAATTATTGATTATCATTTAGGTTGTGGTTAATTACTTTTGTCTCCAACTAATCATGTTCAGTTGGACAAAATAAATTGCTGCTTCTGGTCCTTGTGTGTCAAATCCTTTGCTCCAGCATTACAAGCATTGGAAATTTCTTTCATTCTAATCATTATTTAATCGACTCTGTATATTATTCCTAAGCACAAACCAATCAAGTTGGTTATCAATTTTTTTACTATTACATTATTTGGTCTCTTGAAAGAAAGTGATTGGAAGTTGGAAAAAGGGTAAAGTCCAACGTGGTTAGAGTTCATTAGTCATCTTCTGATGCCTAATTAACATAAATGGGGGGACACAGGCTACAAAATTGTACACAGTATGGCTCACAAGTTATCATCCATGATCGGCATGCTCTTTTATCTTTTTTCCTTAGATTATCAAGTAGTAACATTTGTGGTACCCTTTCATGCCATTCACATCTATGACTATGATATCTGCCTAATGCTATTGGCACCCTTTCAGATGACTTTTTCTAAGGGTAATTTTCACTGTTTCTTTTTTTCCTTTTAAATAAGAAAAAAAAAGTTGAGAACAAGAATACCTACTATAGAAGCAAGAAAATATCATGCATCTTTGATCCGAGAAAAAAGTTTTAATTTTTACTTTTACTTATAACAACATCATACCTACATGTTTAATAGTATATTTTTATTAATATTTTAAAATACTATCGTCTCTCACTAACCAATACACCTTTAGAGATTGATATGTGGCGAAGATCGAATATGTATGACCATAACAAGAGCAATAAATGTTGGACGATTTAGATATTGACTTGTGTCATCTGTATAATAGTATTGAAAGGTCAAGAAATATAGTCATATCCTTGCACTAAGTGCACAGTGCTATCAGATAATTGACATCAGAGTTCCTAAACAAAGTCATGAAACTAATGATGGTGGGTGGACCAAGGCTAAGGATGGCAAGGGCTTATGATGCTTTCATGGGAATGGTAAATGCTTCAGGTTATGTCGTAGCAATGTTACCTTCAGTAAAAGAGATGGTGGCAGAACAACACCCCAACTTCATTGACACTTATTAAGGAACAACTAGCATTGCCTTTTGTGTAGAAGTTGTGGATTTTGCTAATGCATACTATTTTGCTGACCCAATATTCAATGACATTAACTCTTTAGGTTTCTCACTTAAAATAGAGAAAGCAATTGTAGTTCTGTCTAATTGTGTAATGATTGCAAATGAACCTACCGTTGGCTGTGTTTCAATGAAGGACTTTTTTAAAGCAATCACAAAATGCCTCAAACTCAACACTACTGCTTATGGGAACTATCAAATAATACACATCTCAGATAGCATTTCCCTTCACAAAAATTCAAAAGAAGCATTAAAGGTCAATGTTTTATTTGGTCATAAAAGAGGAGGAGAAGAAGAAATGGCTTCATGCTCACACGTCAAGATGTATAGAGTATTGTCATAAATATAGCAATAAGACTGTCGACGTACTAAAATCGATATTACTTATGATTTGATCATGTAACTCGTTTTTTTCTTAATTGTTCATTTAAAAAATTTATTGTCACTAGCCGATATTATTAAGCATTTGACACGTGGATTGGATCGCCTTTATTAGAATGATACTAATTAAAATTATTTATTTATTTATTTATCAAATTTTAAGTTTCACATGTCAATATCTAAAAGTTTATCCATTGATGAAGGATAATAGTATGTTAAAATATTAATAAAAATACGCTATCGGACATGCAGATGCAATGTTGTTGCTAACTTAGTTAAAAATCGCATCAAGCAGTAAATTAATTTTTAAAATTTTTTATTATAATAGTTTGTTTTTAAAAATATATTATTTAAATAAATTAGCCACATATCCCATTATTTTTACTTAAATCACAAAAATTAAAAAAAAATAACGATGGGCTAAAATATGAAAAAAAGTATATAATGAAAGAAAAATCTCAATTTACATCATATTCACAATTTGGTAACATTTAACATTCTTGTTTAATTATTTTTTATGATGGTAGCATATGAGATTAATTACTTGAGTGTGAACTAAGCAACAAATGAAAAGAATTCTAGACCCATCACACGTGCAATCAGAACGACAAAAACACAACATGACCAAGTGCTTGGAAAGATGTAAACTAACGACGTGGGATTAGTAACAGTTGGAACTGACATTGAGAATAATTAATTTTGCAGATTATGGGATTTGACATAAGACTAAATTATAGGTGAAATCATGATTAGCAGCGTAGAAAGACACCTGGAAAATTAGAGTGGTGAATGTGTAGGCATTGTGGGAAGATTTTTCCTATTCACTTTTGCTTTTTGCTTTTTGCTTTTTGCTTTGATGGTGATGGCCCATGTAGTCCACTTGGTCATGTCCCTTGAAACCTTTGGCCATCAACATTCTTGACTTTCCGGTGACACTTTCCGACAACAACACGTGTCAATCATGACTTTTCTCTCCTCACTTCTAATATTTCATTAGAAGCAATTCAACTCATCTTAGTTCTCACTCTTTGTGCTATAATGGGTTTGGAGAGTGGTTTTACATTCATTAATTTATTAACTTTGATCTATTTTCTATAGTTCATGATCCTTCCACTGTTCATACATATATTGTTGAGCTATAGACTATAGCAATGCATGGCCCGTGTCAGAGTCATTGTTAGCCTTACTGCATGTTAGTATGTGAGAAAAGGAAGGGCTCATTGGCATGCCATGAAAATCACATTTTCATGTTAAAGTTTGCACTTTCCTTCTGCCATGGGTGCATCCTATAGTCAAAAGTTGGGCATGGGCGCATGCCCATGTAAAAATCGAGTTAAAATTTTTATTTTTATGTGGCACAGTATATTTATGCAGCTTTTTTACTTTTAACTTTTTTTATCTATATTTTATTTTATACATTTTATTTCTTATCTCTCACTAAACGTATATACGCTCCATAAATATATAACAACCATTTTTCATCAACTTTCTATTGCCCTTTGAATAAATCTCAAGTCGACCCATCGAAGTTAGAAGCGTCGTTATATAGATTCTCAAAAAACTGTAGTTAAAGAATTACTATATTGATCTTTTCAACTTTTTTTAAAAATATTTTATATATCATTGAACAAGTTATTCAAATATTTTTTAAAGTCACCACTTCAAATATAGTAAGAATGAATATGATGATGATGCATTTTAGATTTTTCGGAATTAATTTGGTAAAAAAAATTAAAATATTATTATGATGACGTTTTAGGTTTGAGAAACTAATTTGACTATTAAAATTTTCAAAACACTAATATGATAACTAACATATGTGGCTTACAAAAACTAACTTCGAAATTAATTGTTTACCCTCGTGGTGGACCTGTAATGTACAGATTCTCAACTAGATGGGCTTCATTTGTCAATGAGTGTAAATTTATGATATTTGGGCTTCATGGACCTAATAAGAAATTGCTGGACAACACCAACCAAATGAAGAGACTTTTCGACAAAAAAAAGAGAGACTTGTACCCTTCTCAAAACTACAATGAACCTTCAAAGGTACCAGACCAATAGCTAATGCATGTACAGCATTAACATCAACGCAACTTTCATATTTGATACAAGTATATAGCGGCATCAAGAAGTCCATCATTGTAATAAACAATCCATGATTTATTTAACTTACCTCAGGATAATAAGGCCATCTGAATGCAGTTTACAATATGGTGGCGAAATGACTAATTGTTATGATATTGAATCATCATCATCATGTGTACCTTTTAACATTTCAAATTTGTCTGACTAATTGAAGAAATAGTTGCTGCAGCCTTCCCGTGAACCAATTATCTCAAGAGTTGAAATTATTGGTGAAGAAGGAACATCAATGATTTTTATATCTAATTCCATTATCTCCTTTTTTGCACAAGTCACTGACTCGGGGGTCTTAGTACATTCTCTCATAAAAACTAAACCTTGGCGACCATGAATTGAGGAGTTCTAGTGGTTTTATATAACAATATCGTAAGGTAGTTAATTCTTTACACCCTTTGAAGGACTTAGAAATACTTAATTAACAGTGCATTAACTATAATTCCAGCCATTTTATCAATCAACTGATTCGTTCTTTGTAAACCATCATAGTGCTCTTTTTAATCTATTAGTAACTACAGCAATAACAGACGTCTGAGTGGTGGGTTTGGTAGAAGAAAATTGGTCCTTCACAATGAGTAACAGCAACCTTCAGTTTTATGCATTAACATAATCGAGATCCACTGAATCGCATATAGTACACAGTATACTATTTGGAAGTAATTAACTAGTAAACACTTGAACCTCTTAGGACTATATGCTACATCAAATTATGTCTCAAAATTTGTAACTACGATATCACAAAACTGCCTGCCTTAGTCAATTGATGTTCTGTTTCTGAATAGTCTAAAAGGATCAATAACACATAAGTCATGATCCACAGAATAAATGTGAAAATGTTAATTGTCAAACATAAAAAAATCAGGAGAAACCAACAAAAAAGTGAAAATGTAAAAAATGATATTTTTCCTTTAGGTCCACAGAATAAATGTGAAGCAGCAATCAACCAACCATCCAAGCACACCCATGCAGATAAGGCTGAGAGATAAGCCACTTCTTATGCTCACACACTCGCTTCCCATTCCATCCATCACATAAATCTCTAAACCAAAACACACATATCAAATACATTTATTTATATATAAACACCTCTTTCCCACTCTGTCCACTCAAAGACACTTCACTGATCTTCCAAACTCCGTCATGGCCACCGCCACCGCCGCCGCCACGTCATACTTCTTCGGCAGCCGTCTCAACAACCCAACAACCTCAAAAACCGGAAGATTCCACGCGTTCTTCAATCTCCGCACCAAGAAGGCACCACCTCCACAGAAGAAAAAGGAAGCGAAAGTGAAACCTGATGGTGACCGGCTAGTGTGGTTCCCGGGTGCGCAGCCACCGGAGTGGCTCGACGGAACCATGATCGGAGACCGCGGTTTCGACCCATTTGGATTCGCGAAACCCGCGGAGTACTTGCAGTTCGAGCTAGACTCGCTAGACCAGAACCTCGCCAAGAACGTTGCCGGTGACGTGATCGGAACAAGGCTGGAAGTTTCGGAGGTTAAATCGACGCCGTTTCAACCGTACTCAGAGGTTTTCGGGTTGCAAAGGTTCCGTGAATGTGAACTCATTCATGGAAGGTGGGCAATGCTGGGTGCTCTCGGCGCTTTGGCCGTTGAAGCTCTCACTGGTGTCGCATGGCAAGACGCCGGAAAGGTACCTTTTTCATGTGTCTTTCCTTTATCTGATTCTATTTTTCAATACCCTTTTTCTCTTTCTCTTTTGGGTTTCTCCATTTTTTAGAAACTCGGCATTTTTTTTCCAGTAAAGCAAATATCAAACACTTGGTAGTTCTGATTCTTTAGCGTTTGTTTATTTTCTCCTGGTTTAACACGTATGCTTTGTTTGATTCTTCTTTCGCTAACGACACAAGGATCATATATCTGCGTGTGGAAACTTGTGTGCTGAGATTTTGTGACAGGACAAGGGAATTTGCATTGTATTGTATGTATTGTGTGTGTGAGTTACAGGACAATGTAACATGGTCCCCATGTGTGACCATGACAGTAATATAGGTTGAACAATTTTTTGTTGGACGTGTCTTTTTGTTATCCACTGGCGTATGGTGTGATTATATATTGATGAAGATGATGATGACCCTTGTGGCCATCAACGATGAAACAAAAGTTCACATTATTATTTGGTTTATTGAGTATAATGCCCTTTTATTGGTTCCCTCTTTCCCTAAACGGACAAAATGGCATAGTAGTCCTAAACAAGTTTACTTTAGGTCTTTAGCAATTAAACAAATTCTCGTGACTAAAATTAATTTGTTCAAAGAAACCTAATTTAGAATGAATTTTGCGAAAAACATATTAACCACTCAAGATTGAAGTTAGATTGATTAAATTTTTAATTTGGATCCTTTTGCAGTTAGGATAAGATTCATCTTAGCATGAGATTCATCAAGAAAAAGGCACAAAAAGTTGGTTCCATAATTTTAAAAAAAAATGTTAGTCAGTGCCTTAAATAAAAGTATTTTACAAGAAAACGTAAAAAAAGAATATACCTAGTCTCATGTATTTTAACACAATTTTTAAAAGAAAAATACACATTAATTAGCAATATTCTAAGTTTAAAACAGTTTCCTTAGCAATAATGAAGCTGATAAATAAGAAAAATTAAGAGATAATTACGTGAGTCTTATATTTTTGAACTTTTTTTTTACACTGTCAATCACACTTTCCTTACTTTTTTTATTTCTCCTTTTCCTCCATTTGTTCTAAATCCAAAATCAAGAAGTGATTTTCCCTGTTGATTATTAATGAGCTTATTGAGAGTGTAAACAATACAAAACATATTAAGTTGATTCAAATTATTTTGTTCATGTAATTTTCAGGTAGAGCTAGTGGAAGGGGCATCTTACCTAGGACTTCCTCTTCCATTTTCATTGACCACACTGATATGGATTGAGGTGATATTAATAGGCTACATTGAGTTTCAAAGAAATGCAGAACTTGATCCAGAGAAAAGATTATACCCAGGAGGCAAGTTCTTTGATCCTCTAGGCTTAGCCAATGACCCTGAAGAGAAGGCTAGACTTCAATTGGCAGAGATCAAGCATTCTCGCTTAGCTATGGTTGTGTTCCTTATCTTTGCAATTCAAGCTGTTGTAACAGGAAAAGGCCCTATTAGCTTTATTGCTACCTTCAACAAGTGAAATAAATTTACAAATGAAACCTAATGTTATAATTCATCCCATCCTCTAATTTTATTAATTCTTTTTTGTATACCTTAAAGATGAAAACTGCTATGTATTATTATGTATGTGTATGTATGTACTCTATTGTGTGCTTCTGTATAATATTTATATTACCACTTTGGTGCAACTTGTCATTTGTTTTACTATTTTATGAAAACAATTTTGGGATAATTATATTTATCTCTCTTGAGGTTAGCAATAATAACTGCACTTAAATTCTGCTTGATTTGAAAATTACACCTTAGTTTACCTTCATAGTGGTGGAGATGTTAATATTTCTTCCCTCATTAAGTTTGGTGGTCTTTCCTTCCAATTTTATAAGATGAATACAAGGAACTAAAATCCAATGAGAGGGGGGGTCAAGTCTCTAATGGAAGGGGGATTGGGTTCTGAAAAAGGATGTGATGTTAAAAAAAAGTTTGATTATTAGAAAATATAATTATTTCATCATTTACTAATTAAAAAAGTTATAGGTATAAAAAATTTAAAATTAAAATTATTCTAAAAAGAATATGAGACAAGATAATACTATAAAATGACAAGATAGAATTCAGTGAAGAAGAACATCTAACAAGTTGTAAATTTTTTTTTTAAAAAAATTCTCTGCTAAAATTCTTTCAGTTCTTTTTTTTTTTGTTTTCATATTTTAGACTGAAACACCATTTATTTTAAAATTTATTAATAAAAAGATTGGCAAACAAATTGAAAGCAAAAGCTCAGACCTAATCGTCACTTATTTTTTATGCAACAAAAATAAATCATAGTTAGCATGTGGATTATATTGTTTTACGTATATGTGAAAACGCCTTTTTATGATAACACTTAATGTCGTTTTCCAACCTCATGATAAAGTTTGAAAATCCTTCAAGGGTAATTAAGAAATGTATTAATCAACCCAAAGCAAATACCTCACCCAACCAAAAGGGACATTTAAGCTACTTATCATATAGCTCTTCGTCACAAGTACAGAGAATTCTTGTAGGTTAATCAAATTACTGTAGAAAAAAAACCTGTTTACATGAAAAAAAAAATTGTTACATTAAATCATATGTGTTTAGCATTTGTGTTTAGTTTGTGTTTTTCAAATTAGTTCATGAAAAACAAATCTTATTTGGGTTTCATGGACTAATATTGCAAAAAATAAATTATTCCTTATTTAGTTAACATTCTATTAATTTTGCACACCATAACACGTATTTCGTAGTCAAGTTTATAGCTAAATTTAACTTCCAAGGAAAATCTAAATCCATTCTACTAAAATCTAAGCCAATCCGGCGACAAAGTTGTTTAAAGTAAAGCTTACATTGACTTAAACTATTTTATTTTCAAATATAATACATTAATGATTGATGATAAGTGAATCAACCACTTTATATTATTAAGCACATCTAAGGGGTGTAAAGCTAGGTGCTGTATGCATAAATGTTTTAAATAAATATTAATCTTATTTTCCGCTTTTAAGATTAATTTTAAACAATTAAAGATAATAAACTTTTATTATATGAAAAATATATAAATATAACAAATTTTATTATCTAAAATTACTTCTAGATAGTGAGATTAACAAAAAAATATTTACATCACTATTTAAGATTAATTCTAAATTCTTAAAATATAATTTTTATTAAAAATATTTATAATATACTAAATTTTATAAAAATATTATTTTTATTAGCTTAAAATCTGTCCAAAAATTAATATTAAATTTTCTAAATAAAATGGAGTGAAATATATGCCTTATCGCCTTGACAGAAAAGGCAATAATCATAATTTTTTTATAAAAAAAAAGATAAATAAAAACAACAGTTTCTTCTCACTTCTGAGTCCACAATTTTTTGCAACTACTACATTGTCGCAATTGCAAGAGGTAAATCTTCAACCATTCTTCTTCGCTTTTTGTTTATCTCAAATTCTCATTTGTGGTGATCGTTGATGTTGGGTTATTCCAGAGAGTGATGGGAAGGTTGTTTGTGGTGAATCTGGAAGGGAAGATCTATAGCTGCAAACACTGTCGTACCCATCTTGCGCTTTACGAAGACATCGTCTCCAAGGTTTCATTTTGATCGCTTCCCCTCTTTTTTCTGCTTAAAAACTGTTATGGGTCTGTAACATTTTCTCTAGATTTCAATCCCCATGTTTAAGATGGATTACTTTTTCTGTGTGATCACTGGGGTGTTTCTGTTTCCGCGTTTGGCTATTACTTGAACTGAATTTGATTTTGATTTCACCTGAGTCGGTTTGTTAAAGGAGATTAGGATTTTGTTGTTCTTTTCCCAATTTATTTGTGTTTACTTAAATTTCTCAGCTTTGAAGCTTTTAAATGGTTGTCACTTTTGTCTTGCTTTTTGTAATTTCAAAGGTTTTATTTAGATACTTACACTCCAGAAGTCATGGAGATCTTAATTCTTGTGAGTGTGTATGTGCGGGTGTTTGTTCTTTCTGGTAAGTATATGGACCGAATTGTCTAGAGTGATAAGGTATTTCTTTCTTATTTACTTCTGAACTACGATGCTGTGAGGTGTGTTTTTCTGATATTTTCTTTTTCTGAAAATGTTGGAGAAGAAACTAGATGATTTTCTGAATCTCCTCACACAGAGAGAAGATAGATGTCCTATAGAGAATTTTCTTTCTGGTGAGACATGGTTGGTTCAGCTGAACATATAAACAGGGAAACTATGGAAGGTCACCCTATTCTGATTTATTATTTTGAATGTGTAAATATAAGATCAGCAAATAATGTGGTAGTGTTTTAGGTTTCCTTGCGCCTTTACAAGCACAAGAGTGCTCCTACCAGTAACATTGTTTCTCTTCTCGATTGACCAATGACCATACTTGTTGTCTGGGTTGGAGAATATTGCTTGTGTTAAGTAGCATTTTAATTATAGACAAATTCTCTTATCAAAGTTGAAGTTTCATCTTGGTTACCCACACAATAAAAGTTGACATAAATTACCAAGGTGAAAATCCAGTTATAATTGGACCACAAATACCTGAGGTATTGCAAGTATGAATTGCATTCACACAAGGTTACTTATGTAGATTCGAGAGGGACCTCAGTCAGTTGGCTTCAATTTGCATTTTCAAGTGTTGCAACTCGTTACCTTTGGTGTATTTAGTTATGTTATTTTTTAGACACACTTTGTTTGAATAGATGCATCTTTGCGCTATGTTATTATTTGTAAGGGACATCAGAAAAGAAGTCTATTTCAATCAATTGATAAGTGCATCTTATCTAGGCCACCCAATGGATTGTCAATTTGTCACATGGGGCGTGTCATCTTTTAAAGGAAATGTATGCTGCTGGGGTTAAAATTTTCCAAAAGTTAATATGTTCATTTTTTTTGGTAATTGTATTGCTGCAATTCTTAATTGATCGTTTTACAAGAACAAATGATCTGACTATCAATTGTTTCCTTTGTTTTATTAAGACTTTCCACTGCAGACATGGGAAAGCTTATCTCTTCAATAAGGTGTAAGTTATCCTTACTCTGGGCACCTTATCATTGTGTGATACTAAGAAACTGAAATAAATGTTTCCTTGCTGTATCAAGAGCATCGGCACTAAAAATAGGTAATGTAGTACTGTGCTTCCTACAGTGTTAAAAGGGGAAGGAAAATAAAATGAAAATTATTGATATTTTGTTTGTCCAATAACTTGTTTGAGGATCTGCATCACTGTCCTTGTTTTATGTTTATGCATGTCCACTGTTAAATCCCCTTGTGCTTGCATTTTGGACATGCCAATTCAATTGGAAATCATATAATTGTATGTGAATCAGAACTGCATAACAAGACCATTTACTTACTGCTCTCAGTCTTGTCAACTGTTTAGGTGATTGTGGATCTTATAGCATGTGTAACAAAAGTGTTGACCAAATCGGTTAATTTATCCATGGTCTTTGACTCTTGGTCCTCTAAAGCTGTCACGTTATATTTTTGCAGTTGGTTCTGTTGATGGATTAGTTTAAACCTTTTGTTCTTTGACAGTGTGAATGTTTCTCTTGGCGAAAAAGAGGAGAGACTGATGATGACTGGGTTACATACTGTGGCTGACATTTTCTGTGTGGGTTGTGGATCAATTGTGGGTTGGAAATATGTAAGACTGTGAGGCAGTGCTTCAAACATCATGGTTTTTGCCTGTTTATATGTAGTTTTTAGTTACTCAAGTGATATTTTTCAGGAGACTGCCCATGAAAAAGGCCAGAAGTACAAGGAAGGAAAGTCGGTGCTTGAACGGTCAGTAGAAATGTCGTGTGAAAACACTGATAATATGATCAAAGTGAAGTCGTCTTGAGTGTTATGTAGTGGTTTAGATAAGTTTTATTATTGGGCAGGTACAAGGTGTCAGGTCCTGATGGAAGCAATTATTGGATCAACCATGAAGCACATGTTGGTGGAAGTGATGCTGATGATGCTTAGTCATCCATTCTCAATTGTACATTCCTTAACCCTACGTTGTTCAATGAATGTGGATTTTATACAGGAAATTTCGCAAAATGAACATATTGCGAAACCTTGTCAATAACTATTTAAGTACATCTAATTGTCGTTTCTAATGTTGAAAAAGATAAAGAAAAACTTATTCGAATCTGATTGTCCTGTTTTTCAATTTGTAGCACCATATTTGGATGAAGAAAGCCTTTCAAGTGCCTTGTCTCTGTCTCTCAAGTAAATGGAATGTATTGAAATAAAAGACTTCTGAAAAATTATGTATTACAATCAAAACTTTAGTTGGTTTACACTTGTTTTCTTTAAATGGATTTTATCATCTGATACTAAATAAAATATAGTGCCCAACTGGATTGATATTCAAAGATTGGAATTCTTGTTTTAACTCAGGAGTGGATGAGTTGGACATGCTATAATTGGCTGGAAAGTAATTTTTCCTATTTTTCAAATAGCTATTATTGTTCCCCCTATTTATAATCTACTAGTTATGTATTGAATTGAAAGCATTAATATTTTCCCCTTTTTCCCTTGTGGGTTTGGTACAGTATTAACCTAAAGATTGAGTTTAGAAAAGTTTATAAACATAGTTTATAATTTTTGTAAATTCTTTTCAATTAATTAAAAAAATCATGTCATATTAAAATAATTTTTTCTAACTTAATAACTTTTATGGTCAAACTTATAGTATCAAAATTTATTGTACAATAAATTAAGTTGTTATCCACCTGCACCCGAAAACTATAATTGTAATTAGCCTTCTTACGTGAAGCCAATATAAGTTAATTTGGTTTGACTGAGTCATAGACTCCATCGTTTAATGACAACTGTCGACTGTAGCGTACCGTAATCATAGTCGTAAACAAAAACCATGAGTTAAATTGATTTATAACGTGCAAGATGTAGCAGTGATGTCACTGTTAATTTTAGAGTTGGTCCAACTCACAGGTTGGGTCGATGCACCAAAAGGTTTCGGCCTCGTCCAGTTAGTAAACGTTAGAATTGGGCCTATAAATGTTAGGACTATTGATAATTAACTTTCAAAAAATCGTTGGGACCACACATATACATGAATATAAATGTTGAAAAAACAGACACACACATAAATATAGATAAATTGATAGATTGAAAACTTGTTCATAAGCGAAAATATTTATTATTTTCTTTATAATAGTTATTTTCCTTCTGACAAGGATTTTTATACGAATGCATTAAACGCTCAATAAGTGTTAAAATATCGTCAGTCAGTTCTTTAAAAATATACAAGTTTAATTAAAAACATCTATTGTCGCAAGTCCTTTTTTAATAATTACAACTACTCTTAAAATTAGCATTTAACCCATTGCTTCTTGTTTCAAGTTACGCTGTTCTTGCTTTGTATTTAGAGACCATGAAGTTCGTGCACCAAAAAATTAAATATACGTACTTCCTTAAAAAGTGTTTATGTACGAGGAATACATCAAACGATATATAGTAGTTTTATTTTTCAAACAAGGTGTTGGTGTGATTGGCAGGAACATAGGTAATAAGGGTAATCATCATCCCTTTCTTTTTAATTTGAAACCTGTTACACTTTTATTATGATCAAACCAAACGCTCTTCATTTAAAAAATTAGAATTTAGTCATTTCATTTGGATTTTTTACTAACTCTAATGAACAAACATTGAAGTAGAGCCATGAAAAGAACCAATGAAGTAACCTGGAGCACAAACTAACTTGAACCTGTTGGTATTTGCTCCCACTAACTGAGGAAACTAATCATATACTTTGATCTAATGATCATGGCCAAATCCCTGCCCCTACTGAAACGTAGAAGTTAGTAAACTAGTGCTTGAAGACTAAAGACAGTACATATCATAAAAATCCCTGCATCCCAAATTCAGAAACTAATGCTGGAAGAGAAATACCTCATTGAAATCCATATATATAAAAGCCTGGGAAATTTGATTATCAAAGAAGTTAGAAGACATTTTAAATATAAATATCCATTAAACAAAAACTTGGGGGATGAGTCGCACAATTGCTATTGGCAATATCATCCAATAGACAATCAGGGACCAAATTCAGTTCCAACTGTAAAATACATGGATCGTATTTGCTCCCTCTTGGGAGTTTAGCAGTGGCATCTTATTAAATTCAATTGCTAAGATTTAAATTATTCGAGTGAATAGACCATTCGCTCAGATAACATTGTACCCACAACCCTCCTGTAACTCCGCAACTGCGACTCCAAGTAACTCCGTTGTTCAGGACTAACAACCCTCAGCAGATCCTTCAGAAAGGAAAAATGCAGAATATGCAAAGCCAAAAATAGACAAAGAAGAAGTCAGACTGGAAAGGGACAAATCATGGAGTAGTTTGCTGTTGTTAAACATAAAGGTCTACCATATCAAGCAATATGATTAGTATCCCCTCAAAATCCTGTTTGGTTTTATAAAACACTTTCTATTCTTGTTTCCGTTTTCACAAATAATAACAAAAATGTCTCATAGTTTTTACTTTATTCTTTGTTTTTTGTTTTCAAAGATTTGTGTAAAAAATAATAAAAACAACAAAATAGTATTGTACAAATATTTAAAAGAGGAAAAAAGCAAAATTTTTGTAAGAACTAGTGAAAACAAAAAATGGAAACAAATGTTTTTTAAACCAAATACACTTTTAGTTGGTATAATTTTATGTAGATTGCAGAGATAGGGTTAGGAGCAAAGAAATGGGATAGGAGATTTGGGTCTTCAACGTTATTTGGAACAAGAGCAGTCTAAATATGTGAAGAAACCATATCTGAGATTCATCAGTTTGAACTTTTAAACACTAACATTAGTAGTAACAGCATTCAATTTTCAAGTTAACATTTTTAAGGACAATTAGGTGCTTAAAAGTGCAGAAAGTAATAGGAATATTCATTCACCAACCATTAAGCATACCTTGTATTTCACATGAGATCCCTTTAGCCCTACCAAAACCTCGCTGACATCACCAATTTCTGGTTCATCATATGAAGAAGTTTCCAAGTCAGGTTCCTCATCAGAGCATTCCAAGTCAGACTCAACTATTTCTTCATCTTCAAGCATTGGAACATCATTTGCATCTTCTTGGCCAATGTCATCAAACTGACTTCCTGTTACATCGTCAGTAACTTGAGGTAGGGATGACTCTCCATTTTGTAAAATGGAAGAATCCGATAAGACGGCATATGGTTTTCTGTCAAGCAGAGGCCTTGCAATGTCAAATGGAATCCACCTGGAGATCATGCATTGCTATCAGCCTTATGTTACATAATGTAGGAAGCAGAAAAAAAGTGATCATATTCAGGGAGAAAAAATCATAGTATGACCCATGTACCATATTTCTATGCCAGAAGATTATGATGGTGCAATAATCATATTCATTTTACATCATCTATTCCATAGGCATACAGATTACCCCAAGAAATGCAGTCAAATAGAAGTCAAGAAAAATAATTGAAAGCAAACCCCATGAGTTTGAGACAAACTGAATGCTCGACAAGTTCATGAATAAACTGCAGGCATGATGAAGAAGTGGTTTCATTAACATGCTGAAATGGAATAACTTACTGATATCGAAGGGGACATAAAAGCTCTGAAGGGCGATATGAAGCTTTGTATCTCATCTTGCTGCAAGAATGAATATAGTAGCCAAGATAATAGTATTGTAGACTAGGACAATAAACCTGGTTTTCTTTCACCCAACCTATTTCTTGAAGTGCCGAGTACTTGCCTAGTGATAGAAAGGCAAAGTCTGGATCCCAAAACAAATATTTACTTGACAAACAATTGGGAAGTATATCTATAACACCAACAGCCACTAACTGGCCATCTATTAGATATTGTTGATGGAAAGAACCAAAACCACAAGGAGGGACTGTCCTATCACCAGTAGGAGAAACATAAAATAATGGAGTATCAACCAGAAACCTGCGATATGAATTCTCTGTGACATTGTGTGGTTTATCATTATGTACTTTGAGCTGATATCTTCTATACAAAGCAAATTCTTCTGGATCAAAACTGGATCTGTTTAAACGAATCTCAAGCTTCCTCCTTTTTACCTGACAATGTTGAGGACCAATCAAACAATTCCCTCCAATATCATGCTTCCTTCTAGACTTTTTTGGAACTGAAGTATTTTGAACACTTCCACTCAGGGAAACTTGCTTACTAGGAGCATAAAAATTAATATGTCCATTGCAAGCCCTGATAGACAAACCAGAATTTTTCACCAATGGATCTAAAGATGCTACTAGCTTTTCTGCAATAATTTTTGGAGCTGATCCATTCTCCCTTTCACAAACTGTTGATGGTTTGGAATCATTGCCAAACTGGTCACTAGATTGTGCTCGTTTTATAGATGCTGCAATTTGAAAGGCTATATTGCTACTATACAAGAGATCTTCAGATCCACTGACTAGTAACTTCTTTTTTCCCTGTGTAACCTTTCTGACTAAAGTTTTTGGTAATTGAATACCGGAGGGAAATTCCCCCTTCTCAGAGAGAATGTGTATTACATTATCAATTTGATCTGATAAATAGTGCAAAGATTTTTCAACTTCATCCTCCTCTTCGTTGCCAGCAGCTAGGGATTCTTCTGACATAGGTCTAGCAAAGTTATGATGGACAAAGCTTTCTGATTTCTTTGATGTGTTTGGGTCCTCCGAGACATCAACTCTTTTAAATTCCAAGGTTCCATCTAAAAACCTAGGCAGATAGAATTGTTGATGAAAAAGGTAGAACAAAGAAAATGTGCATGTTTACAGGTTACAAATATCAAGTAAAGTGAATTGCTTGTACTGAAAAATGCAATTCCAATTAATGCGTTTTGGATCTTTACCCACCTCTCGTCTCCATGCCCAAATTAAACAGAATAAAGTTCAAAGGTTTTCCTATTTTAAAATAATATGTTAAATTTGTCTCTCGTATCATGCCTATACAGAGAATATTTATACTTGAAAAAAAAAGGTGAAAAAGAATAACACTTTCTAATTTCAACATCGTCAATTTAATATTATGTGCCTCAAGAAATATCATATGAAAAAGGCAAACCTTTGCATTCGTCTAGATACACGAAGTTGCTCCTTAGAGGGAACAAAGTCATTTGCTTTCAAGCGAATTGTATATGAAGGGCAACACGTCCTTTCCATCTCTGGTTTATAAAGAAAAGATCCAGACCTTCTCCAGCCACGATCAAGAAGATCTAGCAAAAGGGAATAAAATAGAATTGAATTGATCTGAATAAAACTTACCAGCGAATCCATTAGGTTATCAATTCAAAGTTTTTTTCTTATCAACATCTAACTGAGATACGCTATACATCTCTCCAAAAACAGAAATTTGGAACATTATGTAATGTGAAGGCCAAGAAAGAAGGGAGTGAAACTTTGAACCATGAAGCAAAGATCATCACTTCAATAAATAAAAAACAGTGACGTACACTTTAGTTTGGAAAAAAATTATTTTTTGGGTAAATGATCAATTATTTTTCCAAAAAATCACTCAGAAAGCTTTTAATTAAAACTTTTTTGAACAAATTAAGATAATCCAAACACACATGTCGACACTTCAAAGGGGAAAATATAGAACACACTTGCATCAATTTTGATTTGCAAAGAACGATATAAAGATCCAAAGCATATCACAAAGTCACAACACTTCATGATCCAAAAATCAGGCTTGTTAAAATAAGCATTGAGATTTTCTTACTCGTAATTGGAAATTATGTAATGCAAAAACAAAAGCAATATAGAACTCACCTTGATAGTCATACACTGTGAGGCTATGTGCCCATATGCCTATGGCAAGAGAAAAAGAAAGAACTAATCAGAAAATCGATTCATTACAATCATAAAGTCTGGAGAAGGCAAAAAAACAATTGAAACATAGAAATGGAAATGCACGATTTTCCAAATTGGAAATTAGACACCCATGTAGGCATTAACAACTTGTTTCTCTCACCAAACTTAGCAGAAGTGTCTGAGTGTGAATTATACATCGTCTGATTCATTCACAATCCATACAGCCATTTAGCATGGTCAAAGCCGGACAACACAAATGTACATGCATAATTAGAAAACTTATATCAACAACACAGATTCTCTAGACAGAATTGCCAAATTAACTTTTTCGGCACTAGCGTAGGTAAAGTATAAAATTGCGAACAATTCTAAATCTTCCTACAACATCCTCTTACTAATCTTCCTACTCAATAGATGAAAAAAGTACTGAATATTTTTTTTATATTTCCAATAAATTAAATGCATATACTTTTTCATTTAATTCGTATAAGAAAAATGATACTGCCGGAAGATATAGCATTGCTTTAAAATGTAACAAATATCGAAAACCAAATGCTAGGGGAATTTAAGATTTTGCAGGCTTAATCAACCTCATGAGCCCACCAACAAGGGACCTTTGAACAATATGAACCACTACAATAAATAAAACCCATAGCCTAATAGCCATAGCATGATTAACCAACTAACAAGTACAATTACAACCAATTTGACGGCTCATACGCATTTGCGTTTTAATTAAAAACCTAAGTTTAATTGTTTAGTGTTGAACAAGCACGTGCCCACGTAGTAAGATTAGATTTTTCTATCAACTTAATTAACGACTCCAATTAGGGGGAAAGGGAAACTGTTAGAAAACACAACAAATTGATGGGTAAATGAAAAGCACACCAAATCAAATAAAGAGCCGAAAACCCAGTTGATAAAAAATAAAAAATTCAACGAAGAAATTGAAATTTGAACAGAGGTAGAGAGAGAAGAGGACCGTGAGAGATGCTACTGTGACGAGGAGATCTACAATAGCCGCAAGAGGTTCGGCGTCTTCCACAATCGACAACAACGCTTTCCTTTGGGGCGTTGGTGCTGCTACTTGCCATTTTCTTCTTTGGATTCAGAGGATTTGGGGCAAAACGATGACGTAGAAATGGATATTCAACAGTGTCTCAGCTTCATGTTGGAATCAAACACGATTTCGATTCTCTTACTGCTTTAAATAATTACGCTAATGTCAATGTTGCAATAAACCTCCCAACACGAATCAAACGCAAACAGCCCTATGCTATGCAATTCGCACGCCAAAGAGACCTATTTCACGTTTATATCTTCCATCACTTCAAATTTTATTTCACTTGTTTTTTAAGAAAAATAAACGTTTAATAAAAACAGTTCACTTCTATTAGTCTCGGCTATTAAGTTAAGCATTAATTAAAGGTAGTAATTTTTTATTAAAAAATATTTATGTGGCATTAAAAATTTAAAGTGCAATTAAAAAAGGATATTTTTTAATACTTAAAATTAATTCAAACGATTCAGATTAATAAGATTCACAAAATATTTTTTAATTTATAGTTTAACTGTATTTAATATTTTAAAATTAATTTTGTTAACATTAAATATACTCAATTTTTTTCATATATATATATACACACACACTCAATTCTCAAACAAACTAAAAGTAAGTTGTGTCGTGGTATTTAATATTTTAAAATTATTTTAAAATAAATATTAAACGACTTATAGATTCTTATATAACAAATTTGTTTTTAATGGAATTTTAATTTTAAGCTTTTGTGTGCATTTCCAGGTATGTGATTAAAATAATTTCATAGTATAGTGTAATAACTATGATTGTCATATTTGTTATAATGATTTAGGATCAAGTTAACACGAAGTTGAGTCGATAACTCGTGTTCTTTGTATATATTTGTTAAAAATATAAATTAAAAAAATTAAATATCAGGCTAAGTTAACAAATTGGATTGTAACTTACGAACTTAGACCAATCAAATTTTATTTTAAAACAAGTAGGACGTTATAAATTATGAGCGATGCTAAAATAGAAATTAATAAATTCATTTAATAATAAACTTAATTAAACTTTTAATAAATATATTTTTTAAGTTAATAAAAAAATAAAGTTGTGATATTAATTAAAATTCAATTCAAATTATTAACGATAAATATAAAACGGACAAATAAGAGTGTCATTAATATAAATTTTAATACTTTGAAACAATTAAAAATATAATGTAATGATCTTTTTAATTTTATTCGACACATTCGTTTTTGTAATCATTATCTTTTTAATTTGATAATAGTGAATAGTTGAAAGCTTAAGTTGATATTTGCATAAGTACAATAATAGTAAAATTGAGTCTTCATGAATTGTTTCAAATTAAGTACTACTGAAATGTATTTTTGGGCCTCAATATAACTGCTTAAACCTCAATTCGACTGCTATCGAGACATCTATTTTAATGAGTAATATTATTTGTGTATTATATAAGTATTATTAAGTTATAATTAAAATTTTTATTTTATTATTTAAATTTAATAGTTTTAGAATTTTAAATTGAAGTAAACAAACAATTCAATGCATTCAAAGACGTGTTAAAATGAGAATGGAAACTAACACTTAAAAATGTCATCGTTTAATATAACTCCTGAAAGAACTTTCATGTAATTTTTTGAACTTATATATTATATATAAAAATAATAAACATACAAACTAAAAAAAACTCACAAAATAATAATAATTAATGTACAAGAAGTTATGAAAATGTAATATTAAAAAAATATTTTCATATTCTATATTTAATTTATATTTTTCCTCTTTTACATTTTTTAATACAGTTTACTGTCAAACATAATCTAAAACTCTCATACTCGCAAGTTATTCTTCAATAATTACACAATTTTTATTTATTAAATATTTTAAACATATAGGCAACCACTGTAAACTATAATCATTAACCAAACTTAAACTTGTAATTATTATCGTATTGCCTGAATTAAGAAAGTTTAAAAAATAAAGCGAAATTAAAAGGAAGAGTTGAAATGAGAAAATCAGTAAAGCTAATCAAACACTATCTACATAAAATACACGCCTTTAAGATTTTTTTTTTTGAAAAAAAAAGTGTTAAACAACTGATTTAAAATTATGTAATACTTTATTTTAGAATATACATCTAACATATGTAAAAATAAAAATAAAAATTTAATTGTAGTATTTTAACTGATTAATTTTGACATAAATATATTATAATTTAACAATTGAACTGATAAAATATATTTTTATATAAAGTTATTGATAGTATGCTAAGCTATTGTTACTATAATAAAATTTGAATGGACATTTTTTTACTCTTCCTAATTTTAATGCAATATAAGCTTGAGTATTATCAACTATGAATATGGATTGATAGATTATAGACGAGGATAACACAAATTAATTTCTTGTGACATTTCCATTTCAAAAATAAATAATATAATTAATCTTAACAATAAATATGAAACTTGTTAAAATATTGAAGTTGGGGACGGTGCATGGGTGCATAGCAAAGACAACGTTGCTAAAATTCAAAAGGGGAACGAGTAGGGGCATTTTGGTGATTACAAACCGAAACATGAAACGTGGCGTGAAACGAGAGGAAACAACAGCTATAGGGTGTCTTTTACTTCATATATTCCCCATTTTGCATTTAGAAAACCACTCTTATTACCACTCACTGCCACTCTCTCTCTCTTTTCTCACTCTTCTCTCTCTCTCCACCGTCAAACTCAGGCATCCCGTTTTCCGATCTCTCTCTCTCACTCTCTCTCCTCTTCCTTCGCCACGCGCCTCTCACTCTAACCTTAGCTACGCGACATTGGCGTTTTCTAGAACGTGCTTCGTTTCTTTCGTTGTTTGTTTATGACAATGTCGTTTTGTTCGAGCTACGAGCGTTTTGGTTTTTACGTGCAGATTTGAACTTTGCGAGAGATTCAGTAGTTTCTTTTTTTATGGTTTTTGGAGAGTGCACTGTGCATCCGGTGTAGGAAACTCTGGTTTTTGGTTGTGTGAGGTGAACGAGAAGCTGAGTTAGGTTTTTGGGTTGGGGCTTTGGGGGATTTAGGGTTCGTGCCGTTTGAATTTTGGGGATGAATCGTAGTTTCAGGGCTCAGGAATCGAAAATGCAAGCTGCGCTGAAGCAGAGGGAGCAGCAATTTGGGGGTTTGAGGGCTTCTGTCATGAAGGAGAAGGATGAGGAGCTTGCATTGTTCCTCGAGATGAAGAAACGCGAGAAGGAGCGGAATGATCTTCTGCTTCACACCTCCGAGGAGTTCGATGCAGCTCTGGGTATAGATTTATGCTCATTTATTTTTTGGTGCTGAAGTTTTTGAGGAGTTGTTTCTTTCTTGTGTTTTGTGGAGTAAGATTGGCTTGTGAACTTGTCTCTGTTAATGTCCCATGTTGGATGAAGAACCACAAAATGATTCTGTTTATTGGATAGTCCAGTTGATGAATTTGGTGTCTTCTTGTTGGATTTTTGTTTATCATTTGTTATCCTTCATGGTGCAGGGTCAAATCCGGGAACTTCTCCCATATTTAACATTTCATCATCTACGCCGGCTCCTGTGCGGAAGACTGGTGTTGATGATTTTCTCAATTCGGAGAATGACAAGAATGACTATGACTGGTATGTGGTGCCCTTCTAGCATTTTTCATGTACTTTCTTCATGGTTTTCATCTTGCCACTGTGTTTATTACTGCAAAGATGGAGTGGTTGTCGTTTTTTGGATAATTACTTATATAAAAGACTTAACATTTGCTCTGATGGCTTATTTTAAGCAACCAAAGTGATGAGATTTTATTGGGAAAGTAAGTGTTTATTACATTAGAAATACAAAAATTTTAATAAATGCTTTCTTTTCTGATAAAATCTTGCTATTTTTAGATGCTTAAAATCAGTCTAGGGTGTATGCCCTGATAAGCTGCTTGGTTTATGTCCACCCTTTTATCAATAATGTTAACCTGCTTTCATTTCCATCCAAACTAATTACTTCTTAATGTTTCACACATGCTTGTGCATGCACACACAGAGAGAGAAAGAGAGATATTTTCTTCTGGTTTTTCACCTTCTTTATTTGGGAAGGACTTGATGAAATGTTCTTCACTATTCAACTCTCCATTAACATGGTAACTTCCATTAAATGGAGTAGTTTGAAAAGCCATACAGAAAGCTTGCAATGTTTTTTTTTTTTTTTAGAAAATTCTAATAAACTGAACTTTTGAAATAGGAATAATATTAATTCAACTTTGAAGCAATGGCAACTTATGTAGCCTTATTTAGAAACGGAGAGTTTGTATCAACTTCTTTCTTTACAATAAGCATTTTAATAAAATAAATATTTTGATTATATTCAATTAAACAAATGGGAGAAAATATTAAAAATAACAGGAAACTTCTTAAGAATGAGTGGTTGGTTAAAGGGATGAGGTCACAGTTGCTTTTTATATGGGACTAAGCATTTTTTTTTTCAATTACACAATCACTTTTTAAGATGATATAATTACGAAGACATCCTTAAATTTTTGGGCATCCCCTCTTTATTTGTTCTCCCCTTCCCATAAATTTAATGGAACTTCGGAAAAATGGATTAATGGAGTGAGAGTGATAGAAACACACTGAATAAATTTGGCACAATAAATTGCAAGAAAATTTAAGAGACATAGTATGGACGTTTGCTTCAATGGACTAGCAAAATCATCAAGGCCTGCGTGTGTGAACTAATGAGAACGAACACTTAAAAATTCATTGGCATTGTGGTGTAGGGCGAAGTATCTAGATAGCGTTCTACCATGAAAAAGTGGTCTGAGAGAAGAATCGGTCAAACATGAAATAAAGAAGGACAAAGGCTGAGATTTAGCTTTTAATTTCTCTTATAAGTTAAAAGTAACTCATGTACCTTAACTTTTTCATAAGTTCCCTCATCTAATTTTTCCATAATTGAGGTATATAAGTTAATTTTAATTTATGGAAAAAGTTTAATTCATATTAGCTCCCTGTTTTTTTTTAATTGTTTACTCCTATAAGTACTTATTTAGAAGTTTATCTAAACTAGTTCTAACTACAAAGTGATGTGTAGCCTGAGTATTCTATTATTGTTAAAATTGGTGCTTAGCATGGTTAATGTGTTTTCAGGCTTCTAACTCCTCCTGGTACTCCTCTTTTTCCCTCTTTGGAAATGGAAACTCGAAAGACTGTTATGAGTCAGCTTGGTACTCCAGCCACACGTCCCATGGCATTGAAATCCAGAGTAAGCACTTTCAATGAAGCTTTGAGATGTCAATTATTTTGTGGTAACTGTCAAATTGTACTTTTCCCTGTTAGTTTCTGGTTTTGAGAAAACTTATTTTGTTAAAAATATCATTATAATTATGCAGTATGCATGATGAACTTGGTCTTGACTTTAAGCAAAGTAATTGATTTGCATGATATGAGATCAATAGATTTTGTCAATTATTATTTAATATTTTGGTTATTGATACCTTACTAATAATGATTTGTTAGTATATAGTGCCTCTCAAAACAATGATATCCTTGGACTTAATGAAATTAGCTTCTCATCATATTGGACGTTTTACTGTTGTACCCTCACATGCTATGGTTTATTTAAGTATCGCATCACATAAAATCCGTACTGGGACTTGAGATTTCAACAAGTAAATTGTCCATTTTTGTTTTTAACATTTATAGTGACAAAAATGACAATGCTTTTTATCCTTTGAGAGATTCCTAAAGATCTTTTTAGCACTTTACTGAAATTTTAATTTTTGATAGCGCCCATTGGCATTGGTTATCATTAGTGTAAAAAAAATTCATATTTTTTAAATTGTTTCCTTGTGGTTATAGTTAGCAAATCATCAATCAGAGCCTCCTGGTAGGACTAGCTTAGTATCTAAACAACCTACTTCCTCTCCTGGGTTGAGCTCTGCAAGTGGCGGAACTAGGAGGCCCTCATCATCTGGGGGTCCAGGATCACGACCTGCAACTCCTACAGGTCGCTCTACATTAACCCCAGCTTCAAAATCCTCAAGACCTTCTACACCTACTCGGGCTACCTTACCTTCAACTAGGTCCATGGTAGCTACATCCAAGACCACAATTTCCTCAGCCAAGCCTGCAGTTTCTGCCACTAAATCTTTGACTTCTGCTACTAAGACTCCGGTTCCTGCGGCTAAACCCACAATTCCAAGATCCTCTACACCTTTGTCAAGATCTAATGCAAGATCTTCTACACCAACTAGTAGGCCTACTTTACCTCCTTCCAGGTCCACATCAAGAGCATCTACTCCAACTCGGCGACCATCAATTGAACCCAGTATATCTGCTTCTTCAGTTAAAGCATCTTCAAGCCCCAAGCCGGCTACTGTGACATCAAGGCAGCCAACTCCTGTGACAGCAAGACAGCGAGCTACTGTGACCTCAAGGCAGCCAGTACCATCACGTGGCACTTCACCAACAGTGAGATCAAGACCATGGAAGCCATCTGAGATGCCAGGTTTTTCACTTGATGCTCCCCCTAATTTGAGAACAACATTACCTGAAAGGCCACTTTCAGCAACTAGGGGCAGGCCCGGAGCACCCACTTCTCGGTCTTCATCTGTTGAGCCTTCTTCTAGTGGAAGACCCAGACGGCAATCATGCTCTCCTTCAAGAGGACGGTCTTCCAATGGCACTGTCCATATCAGTGGAAACTCTATGCCAGCAGTTAGCCGGGGACACTCCAAAGTGAATGACAATGTCAGTCCTGTTGTAATTGGCAACAAAATGGTAGAGAGGGTAATAAATATGCGAAAACTAGCACCTCCAATGATTGATGACAAAAACTCTCCCCGCAGTAATCTCTCTGGCAAGTCGTCATCATCTCCAGACAGCTCAGGTTTTGGAAGAACGCTCTCAAAGAAGTCCTTGGATATGGCTATTAGGCATATGGTGCGCATCTTCTCATCCTATTTATAGTTTTTTTCTTATGAAACGAACTTGTGATGGCATACTTGCATATAAATCACCATTCTTCTCACAAAAAAATTAGTGAATTTTATAATCTCTAAATACCTTTCTGGAGGATGCATACTGATTATTTGAGTTTCTTATTTGTTTTCTTCATCTACACCATATTTTTATTAAAGTGATTAACTTAGATTGATTAGAACTGATTTAGTTGTACAATTTTTTTAATCTCATCATTTTACTCCTTTATCTTTGAATAGGATATAAGGAGAACCATTCCAGGCAATTTACGGCCATTGATGACAAATATTCCAGCATCTTCTATGTATAGCGTGAGGTCTGGTCCTCAGCGTGGTCGAACGATTAGTGTTTCATCTCCTCATGCCACAAGTAGTAACGCTAGTTCTGAAGTGAGTGTGAACCAAAATGGCCTTTGTTTAGATAGTAGTGAAGTAGATGATGATATTGGTAGTGAGAGATGTGGTCAATCCCCTGCAAGTGTACGGGGCAGGTAAACTTTTAACAATTTGGGAACTCAACATATATTTAAACAGCAGCAGCGATCATATCCTGAGTTTCAGCCATATCGGATTTGCATATGGAGCTAACCATGATTGTACTGATGTAAAGCTTCCTGGAAATGATGTAACCTCTTGTAGGGACCTCTGATTTTAATTAGATCGGTTATATGTTGTAGCGGTAATGCTCATTTTTTAAAACAAGCCAAGGTTTATCCTCGATTTTGAAAATTGAGCTTATCATCCACAAACCATAAGCCATATTTATTCTGCCATTGTAAATGTTTGGTAACTTTGAAATCGCAATAGGGTTCACTTTTTAGGTTTTTGAAAAGCCGTAAAAAAGCCATCAGAGAATGGGTAAATAATAAGAGAATTTGCTATGCGTTCAAAATTAACAACGGGTGACATTTAGAGTCTGAGTGTCAAGTTTAGTGACTGGTTTATGTTCGCTACTATTGAAAGATTTATTTTCGTTAAAATAAACCATATATTTTCATATGAGGAAAAGGTACAGTTATTTGAGTATTTTTGACAAATTGTAGTGATATTATAATAATTGATATCATACTAACCTGAACTATTTGTTCATTTCCGATTATTTGACTCTTGCATAACTTACGTCATTAGAAAGAGTATACTTTGAAGTTTTGGCATTAGAATTCACGAAACAAATAGATCCACGTACATTGCAAGACAAAATTGCTAGTCAATTTTCTTTTGGACATTTTAGTAAGAAAGAGTTGATATAAGTGCTATTTAACTGTTAAAATTGTGAGTTATATTTATCAATTCGACATAAAATCATTCTTAAGTTTTAGTACTTTTGGACTAAATTTATAATGTTTTAGGAATTATGTAGCATAATTCTTGAAAGATGTTTCAACAATTTTTTTTTGGTCGTGCAAGCAAAATATTATGGGTTACTCTTGGGTGTTGTACTCAGGAAGAGAGTTCGATCCTTGCAATATCAAACAACAACCCGTCCTTCCCCATCCTAGACCAAAAAATAGTTCTTGTTTAAAAAATAAATTATTTTCAAATATAAAACTGATTTAATACGTATTTCTTGAATTATTAAAATCATTTAATACAAAATACTAATTTTTTTAAAATCAGGGCATAAGCTGTTATCTTTGTTATTTAGATAATGCATGACAATGATACAGTGTCACACTTGAGCTAATCATGTCATCCTTTAACACCTTAACTTGTTGATAAAGCAAGTTAAGGTTTGCATTTTAATGAATGGCATCCAAGTTTTTTATCAGGTCGTACGAAATTGGCAGTGACACCGTGAAAGCGACGTGTTTTAGAGTCTTTCAATTAAGTATTCAACCCCCTTTTAAGTCTGTTTAGCAGAAGAAACAATATTTGATTTAGTTATCTTCACATAAATTTCAAAGTAGATGAAAGTTCCATCACACCCCTTTTCTTATCTTGTGTCCCCCCTAAGCAAGCAAAGTGCTTTTAAGTCTCTGACCTCAGAGAGTTGGTATTTGCACTAAGGTTTGAAATCATTCACTCATAAAATATCCTGTCATGTTCTCAAAGGAAATTTGTTTTCTTTCCCATAAAAAAATCCAACTGCATTTTTTCAAAAGAACTAATATTGCAATTTGAAAAGATTACCATAATGTTGTAATCATTTAATGTTGGTATGGAAGATAATGATGCTCAGATATATTTAAACAAGAAACTAAGTTCAATACATATGCCTATCTGAGCTTTAAACTTGAAGCTCCACCTGACTTGTACAGACAGACAAACAAACAAAAGAGATGTTATACAATCGGGAGCTCCACTGTATAAGACTTTATTGTTATACTACATGTAGATATTTGAACCCAAGCAACTACTTATAAGAATAAATCAAGACTTCATTCTTATACTACATGTACATCCAGTGATTGGAGGTATCAGAGATCTCATTTATCAACAAATGCTGACTCGGCCAAGTCAATGGAGCGAGCAAGAGCAGCAGCTTTGTTCTGACACTCTTGGTGCTCATCATCAGGGTCACTGTCAGCAACTATACCAGCACCAGCTTGAAGGTATGCAATCCACTCGTGGCGGAGGTTTAGGTTTTTGTATGAGTACATTGTGTCATACCTAGTTCCTGACGGAAATACTATTGTTCTGAGAGCAAGAGCAATGTCCATATCACCAGAGAAAGAGATATATCCAAACCCTCCACTATATGGCCCCCGCCTTGTGACCTCCAACTCATCAATTAACTCCATGGCCTTCACCTGCATCCACCAGCCATCAGGTAAGAATGAAGCTGAAGATTGAAATGATGTATCACTGGTAACACTAAGCAGAATATCCTTATCACAAACATGTGACCTCAAAGTTTCAGCAAGTGGAGAGCCCTGGCAGCCTTAGATAACAACTAAGAAAAGATTGTAATTTGATTAAAAAGAGTCAAGTTATGAACCTTTGGCGCTCCACTGACAGTTCCAACAGGCAATGCAGCACGCAAGGCGTCCCAGCTGGTCAAATGGTCTTGCAACTCCCCGGTAACCTAAAATAAATAATGGATTGGACGATGAATATGCAATTAAATATTATCTACTATTCTGACTTAATTGAATAAACAAATCATTTTCTGGGAAGGATGAAAGGGAGAGGGGCAACGGCAGGACTAGTTGAATAAGAGGATAGGTGCTGGTAAGCATAATTTCAATAAAATTTTCAGTCAAACGTATCATAGAGTGATACATAACAATTCAAAGATCATGGCTTTACAATACAGTGGAAAGGATAATACAAAAATTGGTTTTCCTAGAAGTCCATCACCAGTATAGTTGCTTGTTGCAGAAGAAACCCTAGTAAGTAGTTGAAGAACATCAACTAACAGTAGATAGCAAGAAAAGGTTCTTACCGTAGAGCTTATGTGCATGACATGGGAATATCGTTCAACATTCATAAGCTTTTCCACTTTAACAGAACCATTTTTTGAGACCTGCAAAGAACTTCTGTTATCAGAACCATCACAACTTAAAAGTATGGAATTCAGACCATCTTTTCAAGAAGTCTGAATAAAATACTTTCTTCATACAATCATACAACTTGTTTCTGCATCATGATATATAACAGAACCAGTTTAAAGCATGTTTTAGAATTATAATTTTATCATATTTGTCAGTTGCTACAAACTACAAAGAAACAAAGACCACTTAATCAACGCAAATCCGCAAAACAGAAGTTAACAATAACTTTTAAGATCCATATCCATAGGATAGATCATTTTTGTTAAAGATACATATGTACCTACTGTTCTTTACATGTTGCAGATTGGGTTTTAATGTGCAAGTAAAGAAGTTCAGATAAAGGATTGAAAACTATGGTTAATGAAAGCATCGTTGAACTCCAGTTATTAGTAATACATGTAACTTAAAAGTTTCATAAACTTCAACTCCAATAGAAGAGATTAAAGCATAGATATAATATAAGAAACAATAGTAGCTATATTTTCTTTAAATAAACAAAATAATTGAACAATGGATTAACAAATAAGAGTAACCATTAAAATGAATATTTATAACAAACCTTTCCAACATCGTTGCGTCCCAAATCAACCAGCATGACATGCTCTGCGCATTGCTTTTCATCTCTCAGCAGAATCGCTTCTAACCTTTCATCTTCTGCTGGTGTTTTCCCCCTTCTTGCAGTCCCAGCCAATGGTCGGTTCACAATGTTCTTCTATTCATGTCAATATCACAATAACTAAAATAAATAATAGATAATTTTAAGATTTATGATAAACATTCCAATGGACAAGTAAGAAGTATCATTTAATTTAAAAATCTAATCTATGTACCAAAACCTACCTTCTTTATACGCGTAAGAATCTCTGGACTTGAAGCAACCAGAATACATCCCCTAGCCTGTTTAGGAAATGCATAAACTTCAGTACATGAAAAAGCTGAACACCAACACTTTCCTGAATGAAGAAAGCAGTTTTAGAAGTTAAACAGAAATAAACCTGCAAATAAGTCATATATGGACTTGGATTCACAACTCTCAGTGCTCTATAAACTTCAAATGGATCAGCAAATGTTCTTCGTTCAAATCTCTGACTTAATACAATCTGGAAAATATCCCCTGCTTTAATATGTTCTTTTGCCTGAAGAACTGCCTCCTTGTAGGCTTCACATGACATGCTTGACTTCTTCAAAGGTGGACCAAAATGGCGTGTATGCAAATCCACAGAGCCTGGAGCCAGCCTTGGGCTAGGAAATGCTCATTTCAAATTAATTTTTATTCAATCATAACAACACATCATTACAGAGAGAAACATTGAACAGATGACTTACGGTGGGCTATCTTGTAATTTGGCCACTAATTTTTCTAATTGTTCCATTCCATCCTTGTAAGCACTCTCAACCGAGGAGTACCGGTCAATCCTCACCCAAAGAATCACATATGCTTTCTGTTAAGCAAAATACATGTAACAATGAAGTATTTTGAAGTTATGATTATGGATGAGTCCTAACTATCATCCATTTTAATACAATTACATAATAATTGGATAATCTTGAGCTATAAAAATACCAACTAAAATGACCAAATGCATTCCGTATCCGTGTTCAGTATTTATCTTATCGCATTAATAGTCATTTCACGATTTCTACCCATTAAATAATGACTATATGTTCAAAGATGAAAAAAGGCATTTACAAGAACATTGAACTTATTAAAACATTTTATTTGGCAAATTCAATGAAAACATCCAATTAATAGATAAGAAGGAAAAGAATAGCTTATGAAGCATCTGAAAATTGAGTTTTTCTTAAAATGATAAGAGGTGTACTGTACTGCAAATTAAAAGATTATTGAACTGCATGTCAACATTACTAGCAAGAATCCTGTCATGTGAGAAATACCAAACTACATGTCAACATTGATACAATATTTGCGAAGCATCCAAAGGTACCTTCTCCACATGATCAAATACAATCACAGTATCATAGAGGCCTAGGTGTATGTCTGCAAGGTTCCTGTCATCCTTTGGAGCATTTGAAAATGGTAGTTTTTTCTTTTCCACATAACGAACTGTGTCATATGAGAAATAACCTGCCCAACCACCTACAAGAGCAGCTTCAACTAGTCAGAGTTCGGAAGATAAAACAATTAGATGAAGAAAATATGTCAAGATAGTTCTCTGTCTCTCACACCCACGTGTGCGTGCACACAATTGTGCACATGTACACACGCATACACAAATAAATAAGAAGTCACATAATGACAACTAATGCAATGACAGATAATGCAGAAAGTCAAGATTTGGATGACAATGCCAATTTAATGTTCACTTTTAATTTTCAAGATTTATAATTGCATTTTCTGAAACTGAAAAGAAGGTAACAATTTGAAAAGGATCATGAGTTAAAATATAATTGTTGTATGCTTCATACATGTATTCGCAACTATCACATCCTTACATGTAGGATTTTCTTATATCACAACGTTGTTAATTGTTGCAGACGTCACATGTCATAGAATAGCATCCACACTTCAATAAATAAATGAGAGAATCAAATAAAAAATTATTCAACCTCAATATTTCATATACAGATTATGTTTGTCAGAAAATTAACTAGATGAGCCATAATTTGACAACATCCTATCTCGACACTCAGGTGTTATGATCATAGAACTCTTACCACAGAATGCATCAGGAAGTTCATCGGTAAGAATGGGTTTCCAACTCTCTGAGATTCTTCTGGGAATCACCATAGGATCATCAACAATTTCCTCAGTTAAATGCCCAGATTCATGGTCAATTACTGTAACTTTATTTTCTTTTGCCACAATTTCAATTTTTGGTTGAGCTCCTACAACACTAAAGCGCCCCTGCAATAAATCAAGTCTTGGATTTCAATAAACAGACAAAGAACTCAAAAATTCAAAATCATAAAACTAAGAAACCACACTTACAACACTCGAAGCTTGGAAATTAGGCTCTGCAGACTCAAAGAGAAAGCTCGGAGCCTCCCTGTCATCTTCCTTAACCAAAATCCGGTAAGCAAGAACGGGAGTGAGTTGGTCAGAGAATAAGCACTGACAGAGCGGAATCAAGTTTCCATCTTTTGAAGCCTCCGCAAACTTTCTTCCTTCCTCAACTGCAAAAGTAGCAAATCATCCATGTTTAGTCAAAGATTCAAACAAAGGTTATAATCAATGACAACCCAAAAGCAATTAACCAAATGCTCATGAATTGAAGCACCAAAATTAGCCATTGACTCCTTCACTTATCCGAAATTAATAAGACACTGTTTCTATTATGCATTTCTGCAACTCACACAGAGAGAAAAAAGTGATGAGTAGTCACGTGAAAAATGATGGAAAGATGACAAAAATCGGCTAAGGTGAAGACAAGTGAAAATATAATGCTTCGTTATTTTTCTGAAGAGATTACAGATAAATACTCATTTACCTCATATCATATAATTTGTTAAAAACATGGAGCAAAGATCAAAACTTTAGGGACACACACCAACCCATGAATCATTCAACCGATAATTTCTTGTGGGAAATTGAAAATGAAAAACAAGATAGCTAAAACCAAAAGAACACTTTTGCAAACACTCATCTCACTTACCACGGTAAGCGCTTGAAAGTGCAGAGCATCTCACTGTGAGAGGAGCCACTGAGAGTGAGGTACCCATTGAAATTCCGGCGAGTGTCGCCGGCGAGAGACGGCTGCCGGAAGGAACCACGCGGCGAGAGAAACCTAGGGATTGCATTGTGGAAGCTTTTGCAGACATGGTGGACGTAAGAGACATGGGAAGTGTAGCAGATAGCATTTTTGTGAATTCAGATACTGCTTCTTGGTGTAGTGTTTGAAGCTTCTTACATTCACCGAATGAATATCATATTGCTACCACTTTTCTTCGTAAGTGTTCCAAGTTCCAATGCATCATTGAAATCTTATTGAGTTACATAAGATTTTCTGCTATGCATTGAACCTTTGCTTTCCTTTGAGTAATAAGGTGTCTGCATCCCAGGGGAATTCGTATTATATTATGAGAAATGTTTACCAATAAAGGGAAATATGAAATATAAAAATTTGGTCATTTGTTTGTCATTTTCGGAAATTTTAAAGGAATGGAGAAAATTGTAACTATATGTCTTTTTCCAGATTTAAATACTGGATTATTATATATATATATATATATATATATATAATATTTTAGAAATAATATATACTAAAATATAATGTTTTTAGAAAAAATTTCAAAAATGTAAAATTTAAAAATTACTATGTATAGATACAAATATTAGAAATAAAAAATGAAAAAATAGTAAAGCCTTGTAAATTTTTTAAAATATATCAAAAGTTGTCACTGATATTTTTTTAATTAAAAGTCACCTTTGACGATTTAAGAAAATCATATTTCTGTAATTAAAAAAACATTAAATACTTGGCTGATTCTTAAATCTCTTTAACAAAAACCGACTGTGCACATGTCTTTATATTTTATATTATTCGCAAGTGATAATTCTTTAAGATGTCAACGTAATTATAAAAAAGTAGGTGTTCGTTTTCTTTTTGTTATACATGTTGATAAATGTTTCATTCTTTATTATATCTATATAAATATATATATATATATATATATATATATTTTAAGTGTAGTTTTCAAGGTTTTATATTATTTTTAATTAAAAATTTATTAACAATATTTAATGATATTACTAATTTTTTTAAATGTATGGTTAATAATACATAATAAATATTTATTTATAGAAATATTTTATAAAAAATACACAATAGTACAGGATTTAATATAATATATTAATAATATTAAATATTATAAATGTTAATAAAAACATACTATATACTAATTTTTTATCGTGTATTTTTAGACATGTGTTGAATAAATCGTAACATTAAATGTTCATGTTTTATTTAAAAATTAATTGAAATATAATACTAAAAACATTTTAAAAAGTATAGTTAGGTTTTATTTATATCAAAATAGAGTATAAGCAAGAAATTGAAATTGATTATTATATAAAAAAAAAAAACAAAGCAAGGTATATCAAAAACCATGAGAGATGTTAATAACATTTTTTAAGAATAAATTTTTAATTTAAATTCTTTAATCAACACTTTAACATAATGGTTATTGTTTTTATGTAAAAATAAATAAATTAAGTTCCTTTAAAAATTACCACCTTCATTCATATCTATTTAACTATTCGATATTTTTTTAATATACTCTTTATTAATATATCTCTTTCTTAGGATTATTCAATATTTTATTTATTATAATTCAAAATTATCAATAGTCAAAAGAGTAAAAATAATAATAATTAATATTACCTTAAAATTTTATAGAAATAAAAAAAATTCCTTATTCGTTTAAATAGACAAACAGAGACAAATGTAATATTTTAGTATTATATTAACTGTAAATCAAAGTTTCCCTTTGTAACTAGTTACCGTTAAAATTTGAATTTAGTTAAATTATTTCAATTGTCGTTTTAAAAGTGAAATATTTTAAACGTATATTCATGGATATACAGTAAGAATTTATAAATAAAAAATATTATTTAAAATTACATAACATCATAAAAATGTCTTAAATGTTGTTTTTTTTTTTTTAAAATCCATTATTTTTTATTATGTACTTTTTAAACATGTTTAAAAAATCATTTTACATATAATATAAAAATCGTTAAATAATTATGAATAAGTTAAACATTATATTTTTAATAGATGTTTCTATATTATTATTTTTTCTCAATTAACTTATCTGTTAAATGACATGTTTACTTCATTGGCTCGTCAAAACAAAACAACCGAAATATTTAATTTAATTAAGATACAGGTAAAAAAATTAAACATAAGTGTACAAATACCCGTAAAATTATGACTTAAACACTTAAATAGTTACTTTTGTGAATATGAGTTCACAATATTTTTTTTTTTAAATACATGTAAGAATAAATATTATAATCTTTTATCCAAAACATCTCAATATCACTTTTATTATGTTATTCATACCTCGTGTAATTTATTGCTACGCTATCTTTTAATTTTTATAGTTAAAAAATATTTTTTAATCACTTTGTCATTTTGAGTTAGCCGTTTCAAATGACTCATCCAAATTGTCAAAAAAATAAAATAAAAGCATTGAATAAATTATCAACTCAAATAATATGTTACAGAAATGCATTGAAAGTTTTCATTGTACACAAGTATTTTTTTATTATCAATAATTAGATGATATTTTTTTAAATAATTAGATGATAAATTAATGTTAAGTCTTCGATTTATTTAACTACAAATAAAAAATATTATTTTATTAAATTTATTTTTAAGAATAAATTTAAATACCGAAATATAATTTATATTAAAAATGGTAATTACTTAACTGTAAGCATGAATAGTAAAACAAATGATAAATTATGAATACAGCATGTTTTCTGTCTAGGTTCACTCTTTTTTTTTGGGTTATTTGGTAGATCTCATTAATAATAAAAAAAATGTAATAAATATTAATATTAGGTAAGTGGATTGTACAATTAAACCGTTAATTTTACCATTTTTTAATTGAATCACGTGAAGTTCGTGCTTAATGATGGTGGGTCCCTGACTCACTGTCATCTCCTTTCTGAACAACTTCGGTAATTGTGGAGTAACATGTGTGTATAGAATAATTTTATTTTATAATTTTTATACATATTTAAATATAGTAATTTATTTAAATTATATTTCAATTATTTATTTAAATTATATTTTTATTAAAATACTTTTAAATATTTAAAATTATTTTTTATCAATAAGTTTTTTTTCCAAATTACCGTGAATGATAGAATTTTAATTTTAAACATCCAATATAATTATATTTATTTTTAAATTTATAATTAAAGTAAAAAAATTCTTACTGGTTAATTTATGTATTTAATAGTTAAGATAATTCACTTTAATGATTTATTTTATTTTAAAAAAGCAAAACATTTAATTTTTAAGAATGTATCATTTATCACATTGATTCATATCTTTTTAAATATTTAAATAAACTCACGATTGTGTTTTTTTAAATAAATGAAATTTTCTAAAAAATATTTTATCATAAGAAAATTAATAATTAATATATTTTTTAAAAATATTGTTAATCAATATTTTAAAAAGATTAATTAAATTAGCAAAGAATGTTTTAGGAAAACCTGTTAAAAAAGAATTTTAATACACTAACATTATTTTATTTTATTTTCTTACTCAATACTTGAAAGAGAGAGAGAGAGAAAGAAAAGAATAGAAAGATATTCAAACATTGTGAAGCCTCTGAAAAAATCACGGAATCTGAATTCAGTGTACGGCTACGGGCTATGCGGAGATTGGTACACTCCTTTTCAAGTTTGCAATCTGCTCCACACATATAATTTCAAAAACACAAAGGGATAAACCACACAATAATTTTTTCTTTGAATTCGTTTTAATTTAAATTTAAATTATATATTAAACTGAAACTTGATAAAATAATATATCCTTTTAAATAAATTTACCTAATTTTACTCAAATTAGTCAATGATAATTATAAATTTTAATAAATTTTCAATGTTTGTTATGAATTCTTTTTATCAACCTTAACATCCTTTTTATATATTTGTAATATATTTTTTATTATTAATTAAAATTATAAAAATTGTGTATTTCATTTTCTTTTCACTTTTAAATTAATAATTTTATTTTATATATTTTAAATTTTTAATAAATTTTAATTAATATTAAAAGGTATATTGTTAGTATTTCCAGGTTGATATTATTATATTAACATACACTGGACGTCTTTTTATGTAACTATAAACACATGCGTTTCACGCGGGGACGTGTCACTTTATGGCTCTGTTCTGTGAAAGTGAAACAACGATCTTAAAGTATTTTATTTGTCTCGACGATAGATGTTCTAAGTCAATTTTATTTTTCTTTTTTTTTATTCCACTATCAATAATAAACCTTTTTTTTCAGAATTTAATATTAATGACGAAATTCAAATGCAATATTATAAATTAGATGACAATTAATTCACATTTTTAGCAATTTTTTATAATATATAGATATAATTTTATCATGTTAATCCGTCGTTTATTTAAATACGCATACACATAAAATCTAAAAACTTGCTTCTAAAAAAATTCTTAAAATTGAAGTAAAAAAAAAACAGTAATTGGTTATGTCAAATAATCAATTGGGATCATTACAAATTGTTTAGATTTGAATTTACTTTAAATAAATTTATCCAGTTCCAATTATAATCAAATTGAAATTTTGTTATTAATAAAAAAGTTAGTAAAAGAAACGTGTTAAATAATATTTTCGCTGATAAAGACGTCAACACGTTTCTTTCCCAATAATTTTAATTTTTATTGAAATAATTAACCTTTTACCATTTAAATTATTATTGTTCATTTAAAATTATAGAGCCATAAAACTTTCTTAACAAATTTAAAGTCAAAAGTAATAAAAATAAAACATAAAATAAAATCTAATTAATAGTTCATTTTATTTTTATTTACTCAATGACAGTGCTTTAATTGGTATTATCACTACACATATTACCAAACCAAGATTGCGAGAATCTATTGATTGTAAATAAGAAGTGTGAATTACAATTACACAAAAGTGCACAAGAAAACGAACGCATGATTTGTCGTTTACAATAATTACCGTACGATCTAACATTGATTATTTGGTGTCTTGTCCCAAGCTAGAAGTTAAGAAATAAAAAGTGTGAATTACAATTACAATTGCATAAACGTGTAGAAGAAAAACTAAAACAAATAAAACAATCTCTTATAAATAAAATACGTGATTTAAACTAAAAATATATATTATTCCACACATTAATTAATTAATACAAAATTGTTTTGTCTTGAAAAAAGCAGTAAATCATACTCTTTAAATATTGCCAACATTCATCTTCACCTTAGGTTATAGTATTAAGCCTGCATTTTAATAAGTGTAACTGTTTTGAATAATGAAAAAAACTTAATCTGTAATCTCAAGTTTAATTAAGTTCAATGACTACAATTATTTAAAAGAAGATTAAATGACTCCCTTATTTGAATATATCTTGATTAACTTTTTAAATATTTTTTGGAATTTTTAATGGACTTTTTACTCATTAGTAAGTTTTAATAGTCAAGACTTTATTAATTAGTAAGCATTCGCTTGCGCCCCATACAAAGGTCTCTTACTTTCTTCACGTGCAAGGGAATAAAAAGCAAAAGAAAAGTGCGATCATCATGTTATGTGTAATGTCTTCAATCATTTTTTAGTAATTGTGATTAACGATAGTTAATCTGTATATTATTGTTTAATTAGAAAATGACTTAATATCGCACGTTATTTTACACGTGACGCAAAAAAAATAAAGTACATGTTAGTAGAGTATTATATGTGTTTTTAAATTGATGGTTGTCATTTTTTTAAAATTTTAAAAATTTAAAAGTATTTTACATGTTTTTTTTTTAATTAAATTGCTAAGAAGCGTTTATTCAACTTGCTACTCAATCACGGAAACAGTAGCAAGCGGTTTTGCCAAATAAGAAAAATAAAATACGGAACTGTGTATTAGTGAAGCAACAAATAAAAATATGCTCAGCATTATGAATTTATTGGAAGAACTTTTATTTGTTAACACAGATAACTTAAAAAATGGCAATTTTATTCAATCAAATGGAATAGTCTTTTAACCATAAACTTGGGCGGTTTATAAACATTTTTCCTTGCCTTTTTTCATGCTATCCTTAGTTTAGTACTTCAATTATAAAAGAACCTTTATTATTTTATTCACTATTTAAAATTCTTACTACGTATCAGGCTAAAACATTTTTCTATCAATTAATATAACGATGACTTAAAGTATTGAAATTTTGATAGCTCTTTTTATCACATTTTAATACTTAAAAGTAGATATTAACAAAATTGATTTTGGTCAAGTTACTTCAAGAACGTGTCATGTTTGTACTTGCAATTATGAGAATTCAGATATAACTGCGTACTAACATTACTACATTTGTGTGTGTGTGTGTGTGTCAATATTACTAGGTGAATACTTCATCAATTATTGAGAAATTAACACTTAAAAAATGCTTGATGACATAACGAGAAATTATTTTCAGATTTTTAGAACTTTAGAACCCTTTTTTTTGAGACTCCCATAGTGAACCTCCAAATCTAAAAAGTACAAAAAATTAAGTTATTGAAGGGTGGATCATGGGTGGTCCAAAACATGGGTGTAACGATACAAATATGAACTGTATCTGGGCCATGCATTCATGCTTGATGTTTAGTAATAAGGGAGCTATATTATGATAATTTTCTCATTGAATAGTGGGTTGGTCCACTGGGTTAGTTTTGATTATTACACTCTGTGTTTGCTTTCACCCAATCAGGGAAGGTTGAAATTGCAAGGAAGGAAGCTGTATCGATTCTTTACATTTTTCATGTTTGGTTAAGCTGAAATATGGAGCCATGCATTTATTTCAGTGCTCATAGTAAGAGCTGCAATTTCTTCTTCTTCTTTTTTTCCCCATTTTTATTGAATTGTTAAAAAAAAATTATAACTAAAAAATAACATTACTAAATTATTTTTAGTCTTTTTATTTATATACACCCCTTCTACTTCATTAATCTCTGTTCACTAATGGATAGTGTTTTGGTTAGGGGAATATATTTTATTCCTTCCCTCTTTTCTGTCAATAAATTTAATTTAATGAAGGGTTTAATATTGTTTCAAAAATATAATTTAGAAAGAATTAGAATGAAATATTTGAAATGTTAATTAATTTATAAATCACTTTCAAAGTGTATTTAAAAACAGAAATGGGAGATGTGAAAAAATAAAAAGCTTTATTAGACTGTATACAAAAAATGGTCATTGAAAGATCCAAACAAGGTTTTTACTAATTTGGGACTCCTTTTTGTCAACGACATATTGGGAGGGCTCTTGAGTTGAAGCCCAAAAGTAAGTGGAGGCTCCATCTCCGACCCAAGTTTAGGTCCAACAACGAACACTTCCAGAAGAGAAAAGGATATTGACAAAAAAGAGAAAAAGACAACAGCTAATTAAGGGTCTGTTTGTTTACAGTTTCCAGAAAAAGGTTTTTCAAAGCATAAAAACTACAAATTTTATTTGAAGATGATCATTCTGAAAAGTTGTGTTGAAAACAGGAATAGTTTTTCAGTTTTTAAACTTATAATTTGGAAGCAAGTCTTAGAACTTTTTTTTTTTTTTAATGAAAAAGTACATTTTTTTAAAAATAATCATTTTTCAGTTTTCTGGTTTATTTATTTAACACTGAAAACAATCACAAGCTGAAAAGCACAGAGGAAGTCATAATTTTATTATTGAACTTACGCATTTAAATCCAGTTTTTTTTTTTTTTCCTTTTAATGGTAGTATAGTTGAAATTGTTGTTGTAGTGGTAGCCTGAGGGATTTTAGTTGAAACTGTACCCTAAATTTGCACATTTATTTATTTATTTTAAAACTCCAGAAGGTGATTCACCAACATATATTTGAAGTTGAAATAAGCGATTAGATAACCTCTTTCAAACTTATAAGAAACATCTCACTGAAAAGAAGTCATACCAATAACGTGCTACATTCAAATCTATATAATCAGTTCATTAAAATCCTCAAATGATATAAAGCTTAAAATATATAGGAAAAGTAAAATATTTGGGAGTAAAATAACAGCTATACTCTCAATTTACGTGTATGTGCTTTGTTTTGCTTGAAAATGATTCATCTGTGAAACCCTTCTAGATTTGTAAGATAGTTTGTTAATTTAAGCAACTGAGACTTTTACACGTACCTTTATTTACAAATGGTCATCGCAAAATTCGAATTTGTTTGCAGAGAGAAAGATAACAAAATTTCGTAGTTAAAACTTAAAAGTAATCTGCAAAGTGCTTTCTCTCGTGTTCCTGTTGGGTTATGACTTATGAATGCATTCCATGTTCGGCTTTTCGTTTTATGTTGTGTATTTTATGTATTTAGGTTTGATATGTCATATGTTGTAAGAGGTCAATTTGTTTGGTGATAACGTGATAGCATTTCCGTGACGAGTAAAACAATATAATCTATCATTGTCAATCAATTGAAGCGTGCGTTGAAATTTAACAAGAAAAAGTTTCTCATTTTAAGTGATTATGCTTGATTTGCGTCAAAATAAAATGAGTTAAACGCCTCTCCATCTCGCATAGAGTAGGAAAAGACGTTTGAAGATATTTTTGATGAGCAATAACGTGATTTTACAACAAGGTGAAAAATAGGACTTTAAAGTCCTCCATATACTACTCTAATTACGATTTTAAAACTTTTAATCAAATTTTAAGTCCTTGTTGAATTTTGCTTACATTAGATATAGCACGAGTAGGTTCCACGCAAAATCATGCACAACACTATGGCCTAAAGTTATAGCTATAATGATGGACATGAAATAGCGAAAAATGATTGCATAGTCTTGTTAAAAATTGAAGCTATAATAGAAACTTGTGTAGGCTTTACTTGATGTTGCTTTTGCCAAACATCATTTCCTAGCTAGGCTAGCTAGAGAGTGATGTTTATGATGATAAACCAAAATGATTAAGAAAAAACAATATTGCCTTGCTACATAAGGGAACATGGGCGTTCACAGTTGTGTGTCTATATGAAGATTAAACAAGAAAAAAGAATAGGGATAATACAGCACACACCACCACACAAGGGGGAGATGGTGATGCCACCCTATATACAAATTAAGGATCATAATTTTCAGTGATGTAAGGTGTGGTTGGAGGGAAGGACTTTTGGGGGGCATTGGTAACACTTGGCAAACAATCCAAATGTGTCAACTTGCTTGATGAAGTTTGTCATACTGGCCCATCCTCCAAATCCAAAGCCCACAACTAGAACCCAGACCACCACAAACGCATTCACCACGTACATCACTGTCCAGTTAGGGATAAAGAAGGGCAATTTCTCCACGGCATTCTGTTTAAAAGACCATACCCAAAATTAATAGAAGAAAATAAGCTTTGAACTGTTCATATGCAACAAATAATGTCAACTCACATTAATAACTTGGTAATAATTTATAAATAGGACTATTAAGGTGAGTACTATGTAGGATCACTAAGAGCGTTAGGTAGCTTCATTGTTGATATGTGATTAGAACAGTTACCAATGGTAGTATGACTATTGACTATAGCAAATAACTAAATGACAATTGACAAAGAAATGGCACCAACCTCATCTTGTCTCATAAATTTTCAAATTCTAACTTCTAATAATTACTATAACTAGTGGGACTATGACTAACACTACCCGGGACATTAGAAGTCACTTCCAAGTTAAATCACAAAACCGGAATCATATCCTCAAATATGTACATCACACCACACAAAGAGTTTTTTAAGAACATTATGAGCAATTGGGGACCAAAGATAAACATTACTGCTGCTATTACTATGTTATGAAATATGAACAGAAAAAAGAAAGAAAGATATTAAAATGAGATGTGCAGAGATTGGACCGTTTACCTGTCTTGCGGAGGCAGATTTGTAAGTCAGCATATGGGCCGAAGCAGGGATGATGTAAACGGTGAAGCTGACCAAAAGGGCCCCCACAGCTGAATTAATGGGCCCAAAAAATGGGAAAATAATTGCCAAAAACCATATTGGTATCACCACAGGTAACCGGGCCACAGCCCTTAAACATATGCTCTTTGTGTCATGCATTCCTATCACTTTCTCCCACACGAAATATAATGGCGTACAAGCAAACCCGAACGTTATGAACTGTCAGTTACGTACCAAGGAACATATCAGTTAGTAGCTAACAACATACTTTTAATTCGGTATTCAATGTAGGTAGGTAATAAGAATTGTATATAATAAGCTGTCATGCTTAGTAATAATTTAATCTATTAATGTAACTAAATGTTATAATTTTTAATAAAAAACATTTATTGAATGGTTAATATTTTTAGCAATTAGTAATGGTGAAGGGTGGAAAACTGTAATGGACCTGGTGAATGAGCATGAGAATGACACCGGTGTCACGCCAGCCAGAGCGGGGGAGGAGTGAGAAGGCATTGGAATGATTCAGAAGTTGGTCACCAAAGGCCCAGTAAACGGCAGTAGCAGATGGTATTGTGAGGGTGAACACATATAGGGTTGCATAAAGATATATATATTTGAACTTCTGAGGCTTCCACATTGCATGCATGATTTCCCTGCATTTCACATATCATATTGCCATGTTTTAGTGTTTACTAAAACTTAAATATAAAAAATGATCCATATACATATATAGGCTCCACTGTCAAAATCAGGAGTAAAGTTGGTTTTGTCACCCCTGCATAAGTAAATGTGAAAGAACCGTTTTGGCTTCTTTGTACCATATGTTTCTCTACTTAATATTTATTTTTTAGACAAAAAGAATGAATTACACTAAAAGGAAAGAAGCTGTCCCATTTGAGAATTTCTAAGATCAAGAATGGATTTTAATGCCAAACTGTAAACACACGCTTCTTGGCACTATTTATCCTCTTGGACTATCAAACAATTTTCCTTGTGGATAATGCTAGAGGACAAACAAACATAATCGATGTGTGCATCTATGTTCCAACTTTTTGTGTCTCTAGCATTACTTTTTTCTTTCACTTGGGAGATAGTAAAATAAACAACTAGGATATATCTTGGGGTATAAAATGTCGCTATCTTATTATTTTATAGATAAAAAAAATATATCAAATTGAGGGAGTCTTCAAGGGGAAAAGCAAAATCTGGGCACCGCAAACAGAGCTTCACACTGAATAAAAATAACAAAAGTTGAATTTGGGTTTGAAATTTTTTATTGCTAATGACAGAGTATAACCATAAGCCAAGACACTAACGTAATGGTAGTTCAAAAGTGCCAGATATGCTGTTTGTCTTATTTCCGAGGGGGCATAAGAATGAAAGAAAAAGCTGCAATTGAAGAAAGGGACCGTGCAATGAAATTCTCCAATTATCTATGATGTCTGTCCTAGACAATAAAGAAAGAACAATATGATGATTGTTTTGTCCAACTTAGTAAGCAAAATATTATAAAAAGGACATACACTGTGACGGCGTGCCCGCCGAAAGTGTATAGTATGTTGGTGGCGCCTGTGAAATACAAAACCAACGTGTTTGGGCCCGAATGGGTCACATTTTCAACCTACAAGTAAAAAACAGTTTAGAATTAGATGAAACTATTAATTTCAAAGGAGAGAAACCCAACCAAAGAAAAATAATTAAGACCGTTGTTGTTGCTTACCTGGCCATGAACAAGTGCTGCAATGGTCAAATACCAAGCAGTGTATGTGGTCATGCCAAGCCCAATAAAGGACCAAATCCGGTAGTTGTGGAATGATGGAATGAACACTGTGGTGGCACAGCATGCTCCAAAAATGTAGGTCCAAGTCCTCTTGTCCAAGTGGTCATTTATGTAGTAAATGTTACTGCAAAATACCATAATATCCCCCAAAACAATTTAGTAAATGAGCATACTCTTTCATTTATAAATGTGAAAGTTATGTAGAAGTTATAATTAGCAGTGTTCTGAGGTAAATATGAATACATGATTGTTTAAAATTGAAACCAAACACGTTATTAATCAAATATACAAGGGTCATCATGAAATTGAGACCTTGCACAGGCTATAAGCTGGATAACAGATCCAAAGAGGAGAAAAGTGCAGTTGAAGGCCAATCCAGCAGCTTTCCAGTATGGACCCAGTAAACCTTCCAACACTTCAAACCACTGCAAAAATTGAAATCAAAACATGAACATTGTTCCATATTCAAAGTGAAAATAATAATTTACATAAGGTGGAAATAAAATTTTAAAAAGAAAAAAGAAAAAAGAAAAAATGGTTTTCAATTATTGTCTAGTTTCCTTGGATATCTAACCTGAATGACATGGTTTTTGAAGCTGACATTCTCTTTCTCTTTCCGGCTTCTGTACTCAATGTACAGAATGCTAATTAAATAAGCAGTCCAACTACCAAGCAGGCCATAGAGGATTTGGAATATGATGCCTGAAAGCATTCCCAGTTGAGAGAATGAGTAAGGCAGAGTCAACAGAACCTGAGCAACCTGCACAACCCAAAGACCACAAATAAAAAAAGAAACAATTTTTCTTACTTTCTCATGATTTAAAAGAAACCCAAAACTCATTACCAATTTAGAATGGCATTTCTATGTAGACTCATATATTGTTACCTGATTAGAGGCACAGCTGAACCAAGCATCATAGGCAGAACCACCATGCCAGAGAATATTTTTTAAGCTAATATGTGAGCTCTCTCCTTTGACTTCCTCTTCCTCTTCAAGCTCAATCTGGGTGAGGCTTGACATCATGGCTTCTTCAGCTTGCTTCTGAGGCAACATTTTCTTTTCTTTTGAATATGAAAACACACAAACAAACAGTGAGTTAGGAACTAAACTAAAACCAGATAAAAACTGACAAGAGAATAGACTTTAGAGTTTGAAAGAGACATACCAAACAGTGGAAGAAAACAACAAAAAGAGCAAGAATGTTGCTTAGTGTTGTGATCAATTGAGGATTTAGTTATTATAACTGAGAAGGGAGAGGAAAGCAGATATATTTAAAGTGGTAGCAAATAAGGGAAGGTTCCTTGTAACTGCTTCCAAAACAAGACAGCCTGGTGTGCTTATCTCGTGTTTTTGTTTCTTTCTTCCTTCTGAAACAAGAGAACAGCGCCACCTTATGGGGCAGTTCTTGCGGCTTACTTTACTACTAGACACTGAGACTCAGGTGATAAGGTTTCATAATTGTGAGCTTCAAAACTCCCACTTGACAGAGCCTTAAATAAATGAACTTTAGTGTACTTTTGCGTTACCCATCAAACTGCTTTTAAGCTTTGTTCAGTTTAGGGTCTTAAATGCACGAGGAATTGGCAGAAGAAGATAGCAATTTCAATGCATGTACAGGGTACACCTGAGAGCTGAGAGAGAGGGTAATAATAAGATTGCTTGTTGAAACTGCTCTGTGTTGAGAAAGAAACCAAAGGCAATTGGCAAAAGAAGAAATGCGTGTTAATTGTGTGGTTTATTATTATTATTATTGACAGTCACTGAGAGTGAGACAGAGAGATTTTGGTTCTCTTTTTAGTGTGCATTTGTACCCTCTTTTCTTTTTTGTCTTCGCTGTGTGTTCGTTTTTGTTTCCTCTTCACTCAAGACTTTTTAAAATGGTTGGTGAGAATGTATCAGCAGAATAGTAATAATTTTCAGAGATTTGTGTTGTGTGACTGTGACAAATCTCATTTGTGGAAGACCATACACATAGAATTAGATTTTCGTTATTTGAATCTTTTTTATATATATATGCATTTTAAAATATTCGTATTTAATAATATACCTAACATTTTCTATATAATTATGACATAAAAAGTTATTAAATATATAAGTATTTCTGTGAATACACACCGCATAATCATGATATAAATTTTCATTTAAATAATTTATATCATAGATCAAACATATACATTAGTATTTAAACAGGTGTATTTGACTGTATATTTAAAGGAAACGTAAATTTTAGTTAAAGACGAATAAGGATGTCAGTTTTAATTTAATTATACTTTGAAACTGTGATCATCAACCTTAGAGCAGCATGTTGTTGATTATCTTCATGAAGTAGACGCCTCCGCTGCCAAAAGAATATCAAGTTGATCTTACGTTAGTATTTGTAATTATATTTCCATTGCTTAAATAATGATTTTGGTTTGCTGAGAATATAATTGTCCATACGTTTATAATTGAATTTTTTTTAATAAAGGATTTGTATGTGTTTAACTATTTTTCAATATCGTTCCAATATACAAATCAGCTGTACAGTAACATGTATGATATAGAACTCAAATCAAACCAAGTGTTAAATAAACAGAAGCTAAACAATTGCAGGTATCCTATTAGATTGTTAGTGGGCCTTTAATAACTATTCCTATATTATGGAAATAGTTAAAAATCTTTGTTTTCGAAAGGAGAGAAAATAACTTTGTCAAAATGAGTTGTTTAGAAAAGAATTTGGTGAACTACTACTCTTTTATCAGTCAAAAAGGATGTTGCATTGGATCTTTTGTGGTTGATCTCTATCAATAATATCCCATTAGATTTCATTATCAATGAACTAAATTAGCATGCTTAGTGGGTGGAGGGACCTTCTCTCTTCTCTTTTTCTCTTACTCTTGACTCATAATTTGATTCAATTTGGTAATTAATTAATTTGCATGGCTATCCAACATATTGATTTTTACATAATTGAGCATTATCCTATTCCTATTTTCTTTTGAGCCTATAATGGAAGACAATTTATGAATCTCTAGACAGTTTTAATGACCTTTGTAAAGAGAACCTCATATCATCAAGTAATGCATGTATGCCCTTTAAGGTAATGTTGATATTTTATTTTATTAATAGTAATAATATTTTCATATTTTTTTTATTCCTTTCTTATTTTTTTTATTCCTTTAAGACAATTTATTTGATTGATGTTGCAATTTAATATTTATTATATATTTGACTTTTATTATAAAAAAATTAGTTACTAAAATTTTGGTCACTTTAATTTTTGAGTTTATGTTTAAGCATTTAGAAGTAATAATTATTTTATTAATAATAATAATAATAATAATAATAATAATAATTTTTTAGTATATATAAATTTAAGAAAAATACTATATACTTTTTTTAAAAATTAACAGTTATAATTTTTTTAATATCTTAAAAATTAAAAATATATATATCTTTTTTAAATAAATTACTAAACTTGTCATCTATTAATATTAAATTAATAGCAATAATTGTTTTACATGTGGAAAGATATATAATGCTCTATTCATGATTTTCAAGGAAATTATTTAATTTTTTATATAAATTTTTATTATTATTAGTTATTTAAATTCAACTTTAAAAATTAAAATCTATATTTTACTTAGTTTTATCCTCAAACTAATTTAAACTAAACAACAACTCGAATATATGATCAAATTAGATAATTTTTTTCTCCTCCAAATCACAAACACCCTTAATACAAATTAGTAAAGCTCAATCATAATCAATAACTAACTAAATCAAATCAACTCTAAACAAATCCAAAAAGATAAAGCAATAAACTAACTTATTCTAATAAATGACAAATCAAATCTAATAAAATCTCAACATATATAAATAAGTTAATTACTTGTCTTAATTTAGGACAAAGTTCTTAAATGTTAACTAACAAGATATTAGCCCAGCTTACATCAGTAAGGGTCGAAAGAAATTGAAAAAACTTACACCAAAAAGAAAATGGAGACAAACGTACGTAAGACTCAGAACACAACAAAACACAAGAATTGAGAGAAATACCAAGATACATAGTGTGTGTGTGTGTGTGTAAGAAATCTGCCCTGTAAGTGAAAGAATTGTAAAATGAAAAAATAACATTAGATGATCTGAGAAATACTTTGAGAGTTAAATTAAGAGATAACATAATTATTTTATTTGAAACCTACATATAATTAATAACATAAATAAATAATTTAAAGGGTAGATATCAGAAAGTTTCTGACTTATTTTTGCTTTTTATTTGTAGAGAGGAAAAGCCTAAACTATTATGCAAGGGAGGTTCTTATCCTCCACAACCACAAATGTGTGGCAGATGAATTATGAACAATTATGCATGCACATCTTCGAAGCTTTATCACTTGTCCGTGACAATTATTAGTAGGTTAGGTATAGTGCATTTGAAGGTAAAAATTTTCAACCATATCTACAGTTTCCGCAAAGTTTTTGTCATAGTTTTGTTGTTTAAGTTATTCAAAATGAATATATCGTATGTTATAATTTATATTTATTTATTTATTGACTCATTTTATATATACGCATTCTAAAATATATTTTTCTTTCAGCTAAAGGGGTCAAGACAATCCATACTGAAACACGTACGGTGGCTAAGCGTGGCGTCAATTCAAATCAACACGTACGCCAGTTGGAGTTTCTGAAATTTTCTGAATTTTCTTTTGCTTATTTTCTTGGGTTATTTGATGTTCAACATTTGTCCTTCTGTTTAGGTCCATGTAATGAGATAAGGAATTGTCCTGCAATTATAATAAATCGCAAGCACCACTACGTTTCAAATCATATCAATATCATAAGTTTTGATACTTCGCATGCTGTATGCCACCACCACAGGTTGTGTTTGTGCAGCCAAGTAAAAATCATCTATGACACAAGCCCATTATTTAACTTGAAATTAATGAATGTAAAGGAAAATATTTAGTTTAATTATTTGACTTTTTCTTATCTCTAAAAGCTTCTTTTTGAAATTTATACCTTAACATTTGTACGTATGGTGCAAACTTTGCTTTTATGGCTAAACCTTTGTATTTTTTCCCCCACCTTTCCGTCTTAGGAATCAACTTTATATTAGTACTGGAAACAAGCATCCTAGGACATACTTATGGTCTTTAGTCCCCACAATTAAAATTATTTAATGGGTTCAATCATACATCTAATTGGAAAGAAAAACTTTGTCTATATTATATACAATATAATTTTTTAAAATCAATACGTTTTGTAAGCTATTTAAATTGTATTACTTTATAATGGTTAAATTTTAAATATGTAATAGTGTATCAACGAACAAATGAATTTAAGTTTCGTCCATGAAACTATGATAATTATTCAAAGTGGTTTAAAAAATATGCAATGAGATATAATCATGCACGTAGGACCAAGAATTATGAATGCTGGGCACGGAACTTCTAGCGAGTATGGGCATTCCATTCTCAATTCCAAAGTCACTTAGCATTATATAAAGTACTCAATTCCCATTTCTGAGTTATTATTAGAGCAATGGCGAGTGCAGGTATATGAATGCCAAGGCAACAATATGATTGGTTCTTGCTACAAGTTGAGATGCAGTTCAAAGTTCTTAGTGACAAAATGACTTGGCCTTCATTTTTATAATTCGTCTATGTATGCTATGTATAGGATATAGGTTAGGTGGCTTAGTTTTGGAGACACCATAACATAGTAGTCTATGCAAACTTTATCTCCTTCATCATGTTTGGCATCCGTTATCATTTTTGCTGCAGAAGCATGACTACCAATTAATCGTTACTTTACTGATTTGGATTCCTTCTTTCTTTTCAAGCTACTGATTTCAATTCTACTATGTGGGTCTCACAAAGTTTCTGGGATTTGGACCTATTAATCATTTCCGTAATTGGTTTAATTATTAGGATTTGTTATAAGTCCATTATTTGAAAGGAGAATACATACACTTTTTGTGATCATAGCTTTTTCGAAAGAAAGAGTAAAGGAGAAAAAATAAAACTCTTTTAAAATGTTTCTAAAAAGTGGGTAAATGAAGATATTTTATCATTGATTAATTTAAAGTATATTGTAATTTTAATTTATTAAAATTTAAATGTAAATAAACTAATTTTTAAGAGAAAACATTAAGTATTCATTTGATACACGAAAATAATAGACATAGAATTGACTTCAGAGTTTTAATTATAACATTTGAAAGTCTTTGTAGAAATCAAATTATTAATTTTAGGCTTCCTTTTGTTAATAATATGCTTTTAAAACTATTTTCAGTTATTTTTTTTGTAATCTTAATTTATAAAATCAGTATTATAGTTAATAAAAAGTTTGTACATTTTAAGAATAATTTAATTTTTATTTAAATTAATTACATAATTAGTTTATATTTCTTTGAGTCATTATAAATTTATTCTTGTTATTCAATAAAATTGAGTTTTTCCCATTCATTCTCTTCAGAATTTTACATATTTTTTTCTTTATTTTTTCCCATCAAAATCAACACTTTTTTTTTATAATTATAATACAATTAAAATCATAATTCTTAATTCTTAATTTATATTCTCTAAATCACAATTCTTGATCTAACTCTTCTACAAGTGTCTATGTTCTTTTTGTTACTCCTATTATAATTATTATTGTATCTATTATTACTATTAATACTGATAATATAATTTTATTTTTGTTATTATTATTAGAATTATTATTGATTTATTATTATTATTTTATTGTTACTT